TGTCAGATTATTCATGGCAGGTACGTGAAATTATATTCTTAGATCTTTTCTGTTAATTAACGTTTTATCTTCATCTTTATTATCTATAATCACATGCTTTTAACCCACTGATCTGATCTGATGCACAAAATGCAAAGGTTGAAATTGAAGAACATAAACAATGGTCCATTCATTAGGTAGCGACAATAGTTTGATATTTTGGAACTGGAATAATGGATTGTGGTTACTGCTTTCTGGCAGTAGGTAGTAGAATCCCACCTGCCCCATCCCCTTATCAGATATTCAGATGTAACCAAAAATGGTATTAATTACAATAGTACCAATTATGTTTCTTTCAGTTCAACTAGAATCTATGCCATTTGACTTACTAGTAGAGTTCTATATGTGAATGGTTTTCCTTACTGCTAATGATTCTGTTGTTATTATTATTATTTGGATTAATTGTATTGTTTTACTGGATATTTGCACTAAGTAGGTATCTGGCAACACCTTGGCTTTCTAGCCCACACTTCCAAACGTCTTTTATAAATTTCTTTGGGCGGGCTCCAACCTTCAGATACAGAAGGTGAGTTTTTCATCTAAAACAGGTTGTCATGTTAGCTAGGGTAAATTGCATTATGCCATATTTAGGATGTGTATATTTTGTTTTATTTCTTTCTTCTGATGACTTTTTTCTTTTGGTATTCAAAAAAATCAAATTTGTCATTATGGCATAATTGGCATGACCAATCAAGGGAAAGCCAATTGATATGGACTGGATTTGTTCGATACTGACTTACTGACATATGGATGCAACAGTCAGAAAGTGCAACAACATGGTAGTAAAAGAAGATGTGAGATGAATGGAAGAAATAAATTTGGATTGCAACTACTTTAGAATGGCACTTAATAAACTTAAACAATAAATAGGCACTTCATAAATGGAATAGGAACTTAATAAACTAAAACAATAAATAGGCCATTTGTATTTGATCCTAACTTGGTTGTAAGGGCTTGACTTAATTGTCTGGAACGCTGAGTGAAAATGACAGGTGTTATAGTCTTGTGGCTAGTATGAGTAGTTCCTATTTTGATGTGGTCACTAACTATAAAGGTTTATCTTGATTCTTGAACAGTTATTGCGTGTGAATTTCTGTTTGCACTAGTTATAGCATGCGTTTTCCCTTCTACCTATGCTGTTTTTTTTATTGCACTACTGCTATATTTATTAGTAATTTGAAGTTATATAAGATTTTGGTTAGGATTATAAATTAGGGGATTTGAATCTGACCAGTGTCATTATGAATTCTCTCAGACAAATGTATAATGCCTCCGATGGTGGGACTTTTGCTTTGGATTGGCTCTTGAATTCTGATGGTAATTTCCTTCCTTTCACACATGTTCATGAGACTGATTGGTTCACTTGCTTCTGGTCATGCATAAATAAATCTATGCCAGTGAAAGTAGTAGTCTGTTTGAAGTTTACTAATATGTTAAGATATGATAATATAATATAATATTATAATATAAATGAGTATGTAAATGCTAGTTTTTTTTTTTTTAAAAAAAGGAACTTGACATTTGGGTCCAGAGTTTGATTCTAAATTACTTGTTTCATTGACTTGGTTGGAGATATCTCATATCTGCCTTGAAATATATAGCAGTTAACTACAAGGTTAACTTTTGTTTTGAAGAAACTCATATTCTGCTTGGTAATGGGAAATGGAACTATCCCAGCTTGTTTCTTAGGAACATCAAAAGCTGCATGACTATTAGTTGTTAATCCTCCATTGAGAGTAATGTGAGACACGTGACTGGTTATACTATTTATACTTGTGCTATTCTTAGAAATATGCCTCCCTTTACAGTTTTGGGGAATGCTACTGACAAGAACATTGGCATATCGAAGGATGATACAACTCCTATTGTGGTAGTGATACCTGGATTAACAAGTGATTCTGCTTCACCTGTAAGTTTTAAATTAACTTTCTTTTTTGTATCTTTCCAATGACTTTCTAATTGTTTCATTATTCTGCAATGCAGTACCTTAAGCATCTTGCTTTCAACACAGCAAAATGTGGATGGAATGTTGTCGTCAGCAATCACCGAGGATTAGGCGGTGTATCAGTCACTGTTAGTTTTTAATTTAGCTTCACTTCTCCTGGAATCTGGAGCGTTGTGTTATTACATAATACATTGCTATGATCCAATAATAAACTGATTCGAGTTTTTTTTTTTTTTTTTTTTTTTTTTTTTTTTTTTTGCTTTTTAAAAGTCTATAGAGTATAATTTGAACAAAATAAGTCAGTTATAAATTTAATACTTGAGAATAAATTTGGAGTTCCCAAGAAAAGAAACAATTAAATGAACTGCATTCAAACTCTAACCTGTACTATGTATTTATGAGTTGAGGGATTAATTCTCTCTGGGCATATGGTAGTAAAGTTTCATGTTCCAAGAAGCTTGGCTAATTTTGTAAAGTACATGTTTTTGTAATTTGTATATGCAAAAATGTACAGATGAACCAAATTTTCATTTTGTTTTCAATTCACTTAAAGAGTTAACAAATGAACACTAAATAGATTTGATTTTTATCTGTCTTATTATGCTTATTTTCAAACAAATTATGTATTTATGTTAATAATAAATTGGATTAATATGCATCTTTTTAATGCATGGATGCAGTCTGATGCTTTTTATAATGCGGGATGGACAGAAGACATACGAAATGTCTTCAAGTATCTGCATAAGGAGTATCCAAAAGCTCCAATATTTGCTGTCGGTACCAGTATTGGTGCTAATATTCTGGTATATACTGTTGTTTTAACTTTCTTTGATTATAGACTTGGTATAAGTTAAAAGAGTTAGAGGTCCATCTGGGGTAATCATTCAATTGCTTTTCAACCCAATTAGGTAAAATATCTTGGTGAAGATGGAGATACTGTTCCTGTTGCAGGGGCTGTTGCTGTGTGCTCTCCCTGGGATCTCTTGGTATGTCTCTAAATTAAGCAACATATATGCTAGTCGTTGGACTAAAAATTGTTTTGAATTCAGGGAATAAAACTTGTGCCACTGACATCTTTTGGATAATAAATTCAAAAACATCTGTTTCTGTCAGCTGAAACACTTGGAATTCATGTTTTGAAACGCTATGCAGATTGGTTCCAGGTTCATATGTCGCAAGCTAGTGCAGAGGTTATATGATAGGGCTCTTACTATTGGTCTTCAAGGTTATGCACAAATGTAAGTTTGCACTATTTTTTAAATTTATAGTTTAACATTGAAAGAATTCTACCAATTCTTTTTCTTTTTCCCGCACTAAAATAAAGAATGAAGATATATTGTTTGAGTGTTTGACCTTGTATTATTTTCTTTGAGTGATAAAAATCAATGTCATTATAGTTGATTCAAGAAAAACTCTCCGTATGATTTGATACGAGTTCATCATCATATATTGTTGAATTTGTTTCAGGCATGAACAACAGTATTCCCGACTTGCTAATTGGGAAGGGATCATAAAGGTGATATTTCCACTGCTGTTCCTTTGACTTTCATGCTAACGTATAAATGCAACAGAAGTGTGTAACTGTTCAGATTATTTCATTTTTTGAAACCAGTCTTTTCTTATTGTGGGGTTTGGTAAAATAACCTTTTTCAGTCTGGGTCTCTGTCTTTGACGTAAATATATTCTGCTTCCACATGGATTTTGATCATTTAAAGGAAAAACACCATCACTAATCATACTTGTCCATAAACTAAAGTGTTAACAATGCTTTAGTTTTCTTTCTGACTGACATTGTCTACCTGGTGATTCTCTTGTTCCTCAAAGTCACGCACACTTCGCGATTTTGACGCTCATGCCACTTGCCTTGTTGGAAAATTTGAGGTAATAATTCTCGCTGTCTTCCATTCCATTCCAGGTGTATCCATTCCATAGAATCTCTTGGCTACTAACTAATGTGACCTTGTTTCCTCAAGACTGTTGATTCATATTATAGACATTGTAGCAGTTCATCTTTCGTGGGACTTGTGTCCGTGCCTCTACTCTGTATAAGTACATTGGATGATCCAGTCTGTACAGTGGAAGCTATTCCTTGGGACGAGTGCAGGTAGAGTTTAACTTTTAGACTGCACCATCTAGCGTCTGTATTGCATGTATGTTTATTTTATTTTTTTGAAATGTTAGTGTGATAATATGTTTTCTCACCCACCATTCACAGAGCAAATAAAAATATAGTTTTAGCAGTGACAAAGCATGGAGGACATCTAGCCTTCTTTGAAGGAATTACTGCATCTGGCCTGTGGTAAGTGAGTCACTGTATATCTCACATTGTTGCTGGTTTTAGTAATGAATTATTGGAAGGTGTATAGTATATAATGGGTATGAGGCAAGTGAAAGTAAGTTGGTTACTTTTTGCAGGTGGGTGAGAGCTGTGAATGAATTCATTGGTGTTCTACACTCTAGTCCCTTGATGCACAAATCAAAGCAGGTGGAAAGTAGTGAGGATCTGCATCCTCAGTCTTCAATTGATCAAGGACCATATATTAGCGTGGCAGATGGAATGGTGGCTGCAATGAACAACGAGCAGCAGCCAATATTCGAGAATCTTACTGAGGAGGAAACACAGGAGACGAATATAACAGCGCCAGATGCCGAGACAAGTGATAAAGATTCAAGCTTCCTGAAAAGATGCTTGCACCATCTTGGTGAGCTGAGTAAGAGTAGGAAATCAATATGGCTGGCTGTGTACGTTGCACTAGTGTCAGCTTCAGCTCTTAGCTTCTTATTCAAGAAAAGGACCAAGAAAATCTTGCCTGCCAATCCCACCCCCAAGAAATGACACAACCAACATTTAGTAATATATATATATGTATGCCCCAGTATTTACTTGACCATAAAACTTTGGTATTGTTTCTACACGTGTCTTTTTACTTTTTAGCAGATGGTTTAGATAATCATCAGCACTTGTCAATCAATAGTGAACAATGGAATGGAATGGAATGAAATACTCAATTTATGGTAAACCGAAATGATATCTTTACTTAGTAAAAAAAAGTTGTATGACAAATGATGAATAAAATAAATACTCTACATATTCACTCCTGGATGGATGTATATTCATGACAGTATGACACTAGAAATGGAAAGGACTCTTCTTCATTTTGTGAACCTTAATTTATGGCTTTCTACTCTCACTCTCACTCTCACCAAACAATGGAAAGCATGGTTGGTTGGGGAAGAACTCCCAAAGATGCCATCACTACGGCATCGTTCAATTGTTTTATTTAGCCGCCTCTCGGACCCGACTTGACTTTAGCACCTCCACAACCACCATGACAGATGAAACTGGACCAGACCCGGACTGACTGCAACACTGGGAGGTGACCTGACTCGACATGACCTTGACACGACGCCTTCCTCAAGCTGGACACCGACTCTGCATCTTGATTTTACGTGCTGGCTGCATGAAAGACATATCAAATGAGTCAAATCTTCTTGTTTATTTAAGTAGAATGATTTCTTTAAGGGGAAAGAAACAGTTGTTGTTGAATAAACTTACACTCAGCCAAAATTGAATCCACCAGGTGGTACATGGGGGTTATCATTTCCTCCAAAATTAAATCCAGTTTGAGTTCCATCATTCCCCGCCGCTGCATTTTCTTCTTCATCATCATCATCTCCTAACCAATATACCTCTAGTATTTTAACAGCCTTTTCATAGATTTCAATGTTGTTGTGACTCTGCAGGTTCTCCAGTTTTTCTAATCCCTCAGCATCATCAACCAACTGTGCATAATAATTAACGCCTTCAGTCTCTGCCTTTTCTGCTTCCCCAACCTTCAATATGTTCTCCAACCCTTCCATACACACAGTGATAATCCTTGGATCAGGGCATACAAGAAGGTCGCACAAAGGTTTAATGCACCCCTGAGTAACCAAAAACCTGGCATTCATGATGAAATAAAACATGAGAACACAATAGGAACACTAAATTGCAACTGAATTCTAAAGTAGAGACACAAAATGTCATACTTAATTTGTTCATTTGTCCCGCCTGATGTAGCATTTGATAGAGCCCATGCAGCCTCTTTCTTGATATCAAATTCAGCAGTTTGAAGCAGATTCACAAGAGGACCAATTAATCCAGCTTCAATCACAGCCTGTTCAACAATTACCAAGATATCACCAACAACAGATAATCCAGCACTACATTACCCCCATTAAAGACATGAAAAGAAGTAGATTGAAAGCCACATTAAACAAGACATTGATAGGTTCAACCAATACTTTTATTCTTTAAAAAGAAAAACTTTAACATACCACAAGAAAAACAATATAATTAATGTAATTTTGGGATAGGGGGAGAAAGAGAGAAGGAGCATTTTCTTATATGGTTTCTTTTCCCCCAGATTCATGTCCTGTTTTAATTGGTGACTGAAGTGGCCCAGAGAAATTCAGAAAGGAAAAAAAAAAAAAAAAAAGATAAAGTAGCATGCAATATCATTACTTATTTACTGCTAGGCATCAATGTTTGGACACACCTGTATCTGGGTCTTATTTCCAGCAGTAATGTTAGAAATTGTCCAGCAAGCTTCTTTCTTGATGCTCTTTTTGTGATTATGAATCAGTAAACTCAGCAGGCAAGGAAGTGCACCAAACTCAATTATGCACTGGATTGTGAAAACAAAAATATTAGATATAAGCAAAAAATAAGAACTTTTTTAGGAAAGAGAGCAAAAGTTTTGGGTGTCCCAAAAACAAAAGGTAGAATCAAATTGAGAAAGGAGTACACTAAAATGGCAGAATCATTAGAGAACAGACCATAAGCTCACACTTAAAATGGCACGCCAAGGCATATCACACACAAAAATTTGGAATTTCACTTCACACTTCAATAATACAATCTAATCTCCCCTTTCACCCAGGATGCCAAGTAAACCCAAACAAAATAAATTCCAGATAAATAACTAAATCTGGTAAGAAATCCTGTACCTGAGTCTGCTGATCATCTCCTGTAACAATATTCCCAACAGTACGAAGTGCAGGAATGAGTACTGAAGGAGAGGGATGACTGAAAACCCACAATCACGAGGTACCACATTTTCAGTTAAAGGAGATATAAGCAAAATAATTTCAAATAAAGGAACACTAAGCAAGCAACTTACAGAAGAAGTTCAACAAGTCTTTTACAGACACCTGCCTCGACCACAGCTTGAATTTTGTCATTTGTGCCATCAGAAAGGTAAGAGAGAGCCCAACATGCATCTGTCAGAACCTCTTCATCATTTGCATGAACAAGGCACTGTAAAGCTGAAAGTGCCGGTCTCACCTGACAAATAAATTTCCGTCAACCATATGTAGTCCACAACACAATAATTAAAGGACTGATTCCATTGAAAATATATATAGTTTAAAAACCACCAACCTGTTCAAACGGAGGCTGTGGCTTGCCTCTGCAGAAATTTGATAAAGTCCATGTGGCATTTCTTAGCATTGACAGCTTGGCCTGCTCATTCAATTGTGCCAGTAAAGGAATCAGAGCCCCATTGCCAAGAACAAGATCACGGCACCCAGGAGAGTCACCAGCAACATTTCCCAATGCCCAGACAGCCTGTAGTCTCCAAGAAAACAAACCACATGAGTAATTGATCAATATACAAGCAAAAATCCCATGGCAAGAACAGTAAATAAAGTACCTGCTCACGAACATCATCACTAGGGGAAGCCAGAAGCTTGACAAAAATTGGGACTGCACCACTATTAATAACCACTCTAGTATTCTCTGAGGTTCCAGATGCAATGTTTGTAAGTGCCCAAGCAGCCTCAAACTACATAAAAGGGAAGTGTTAAGATAAAAATAAGCACAAAACTAAAACATAGGTATGTGAAAGATACAATATTTTACATCAAACCTTACCTGGAGCTGTGGTATCTCACTATTCAAAAACTCAACAAATCGTGGAACCACACCAGATTGTATAACTTCATCAATAGGAGGACTTCTTTCTGTGAATTCAATTGCAAAATACTTTGTCAATAAGAGTAAACATTTGTTAACCTTGAGTATCGCAAATAAAGCAAGAAAATAAGCAATGCACACCAATTGAGAGCAATTTCCGGATATTTGTGGTAGCCTCCAGCTGCAAATCTGTATTATTGGACCAAACAGCTTCTACCATTCTAGGGAGACTTTCTAGCTGCAATTCAACCATTATAAAGTCAAATACTAGTAGTAATTTGTAAAACGCGGCGCACAGGGATGTTAGAACAAGCAGTTGTAACACAGGGACCTGAGATTACACAATAGAACGAGCTTTCCTACCAAACTATTGTATCCTAAACATGTACTACTTTCTAGGGGAATTTAGAATACTCTCAAAAACTCTCAGACCTCACAGAATTGATGTTAAATGTGTGAGTTTCTGTGATGGAGAGCAGCATCTATTTATAATACCTACTCCTTACTTATTTGTGAATAAGCTGATAATCCCAATCTAACTAGGATTAGGGATTCTGCCTTCTAAAGTCCTTTTAGAACTGGTATTCCTTTTTGCACACAACTTTGACAAAACCTTTTGAGACAACACTAGTCAAATTACCAAATTTTCACAACTAAACCCATTGAATGGTTTCTAACACAAACTACTTGATTCTGTGATGGATCTATTCAAAAATATTCAAATTTTCAACTTTGTGATTAATCTAAGCAACAAATTCCAAAATATTTAAAGAAATATAATTTCTATCTTCAATCCAATCATTATAATTATAATTTATAAAAGCTAAGACTATTAAACAGCTTTGATTGAAGTAATACTTCTTGATCACAAATTTTACCACTTAGACTCTGATTGTTTTATGACTAATGGGTAGTCAACGGCCATTCTTAATTAACAAAATAAAGGCCAGAAGTTTCTTTATGACGAGCGAATTAAAGAGACTGAGAATTGTGTCCCCCTCTCCATCAAGAAGGGGTATTTATACAAGAATTTATTACAAGAAAAAAAGGAAAGATCAAGATCCCTAGAATCATGCTTCACAAGCAGTGAAAATAATCTTCCTAAAAGGAAATTAAGCAATTTAGGCAATGATTCCCTAATGTCAAAATCCAGAAACCTTGGTGGTCCGAACGGTCTAGAGACCGTGAACCAACCGGCCTACCGCAAGTACCACCCCCAACACTCCAACATACACAACAAAGTCTGCCTCCAACCCGTAACCTATATTTTCACTAAGTTCGGGTAAGAAGATTGTAGAATATATAAAAACATAGAATAAAATTGATTCTTTAATTCAAGATTAAAACTTGAAACTTGTTTCCCCTTTAATGAATCCGCCAAAAAGAAAAAAACCCCAAAAATGTCAATCGAAGAGAGTGAAGAATACTCATTGATTGTTATATGGAGTACATAATTAAAGAAACAAGAAATTATATATAAGTATTTGAAGAATTAACCTTTTTGTCTGAGGTGGCCGTGGGGGTAGGGAACTGCTGTGGCTGTAGGCCATCGCGACGCTTCTTCAGCAAACTCTCCTCGCGCTTGCTCTTGCGGATCTCCACCATGTTGTCCTCCCTACGGCGACGCCCCTCGTCAGCGTCCACCGCCACCTTGTACCTGCTCCGGCGGACCTCCGCCCTTGCGTTCGGCCTCAGCGACATCGTTTTATGTGATACTGTACGAACGATCAAATAACCACTGCAACGGAGAAGATATGAATATGATGCACCAATCAAACCCTATTCAATTCTCAAGTATATAGAAACAAACACACGTAGCGAGAGCGCGGGTGAGGACCTCACGGGGAGAGACGGAGAGCCGGGATTCGAATAGAATACTTCTTCTTGAATAGGGGAACAAATGTTGCAAAGCGTGCAGTCACCAGTCGAGAGGAGATACATACAACTTAATATATACGATGGCTTCGGTCTTGGGCTTTGGTTCTTTTTTGGGCTACAAACCAAAAGCAATAGCCCGATACTGCTTCCCGAGTTAAGACACGGCCAATTATGCTATCACACGGATGCAAAAACGACGTCATTTTGATTAAAAATGCGCGTTCATTTAAAAAAAAAAATCAATTTCGATTCCCGATAATAGTATTATATTGTGCATAATTTGAACTATATATCCAGAATCAATGAACTAAAAATCCAGAAGCAATGAACTAAATATCCATAATGAATGAACTAAATATTTAGCATGAATGAAGAAAAAAAAACCAGTTCCGATTTTCGTCTAAATATCCAGAATTAATGAACTAAAAATTCAGAAGCAATGAACTAAAAATCCATAATCAATGAACTAAAAAACCAGAATCAATGAACTAAAAATCCAGAATGAAAAAAAAATCCAGAATGAATGAACAACATAATGTTGTTGAGGGGAATCGAAATTGATTTTTTTTTTTTAAGTGGGACACGCGTTTTTAGTCAAAACGACGTTGTTTTTGCATCCGTGTGCACCATGCATGGTGCACACGGATGCACAGCATAACGATTGGTTAAGACACATGTAAAAACGACATCGTTTTGACGTCGACTTAAAAATAATAATCAGAATTGCATAACTACACATCCATAATTTCATAACTATACATCCAGAATTGCATAACTACACATCCATAACTTCATTACTATACATCCATAACTTCATAACTATAAATCCAGAATTGCATAACTTCATAATTATACATTCAGAATTGCATAACTACACATCCATAATTTCATAACTATAAATCCAGAATTTCATAACTATACATTCAGAAATTATGCACAACATAATGTTGTTGACGGGACTGATTTTTTTTTTTAAATTGGACCCGCATTTTTAGTCAAAACGACGTCGTTTTTGAATCCGTGTGCACCATGCATGATGCACACGGATGCACAGCATAATTTGCCACACATGTTCGTCACCCAATTATGATTATGGTTTACTTACCATGGCAGATCCTATTTAGATTATTGTGTGGACCGTGGTCCAAAACATCGTCGTAAATATTATGAGAAAAAATAATGTATATTATGTGTTAGAATAATGTACATTATGTTTTAAAATAATCTACATTACGTGTTAGAATAATGTACAATATGTGTTAAAATAATATAAATTACGTGTTAGAATAATGAAACATATGGGTAATATAATGTACATTATGAGTTACAAAAATGTTTGTTGAAGTTGGACGCGTAAACAAATAAAATTAAGCAAAACGACGTCGTTTTTGGACTGTGGTCCATGCAATAACTATTGGATTATTGTTATATTGTGGTGGACCATGTCCAAACGACAAATGTAGGAGGGAGAATGAGGTGATTCTTGGAATAAATTACAGTCACGACTTAAAGGTTTGTTGGTAATAATAGAACTGGTGACCTTTAGGTATGAAAATGAAGTTTCACTTACTTGGTCATTCTTTTCAAAAATTAACCTTTTACCTAGTTGTCTTATTAATGAAGAAAGCGATCGTTCAATAAGACGGTCGTCATTTTTTTTACACAAAGGTAGTTAGACACAACATCAAAATCATAATGATCTGCTATCATCCGTCACTAACTAGTTTTTATGTATTGATGCACTAAAAATACATATTGACATGTTTAATTGTAATTTTTGAAAGTTCAAAAGTTTTTAAAATTTATGATGTATTTGATCCTTTTATCATAAATAAATAATTACTTGTAGTGATTCTCCCTATAGATACAAATTTGGGACATTAGTTTAATTTGTTTTATACAACAATCAACAATGTCTTAAACTTTAAATCAAACCAAAAGTAGTGTACAAACTTTTCATTTACACTTACACATGATAATGCTATCCCTAAGAGCCTTGGCAATGGCATAACCTCTTCTGCATGCTTTCCTTCAAACAAGATGCAAGTACTTTTCAAGCTCCGACATGTACTGTCCCAATGAAATCTGCTCATTTCTATCCTGTCTAGCAACGGGGTTCTCGTCGGCGACCGGCCGGATTATCCTTCGCGGCGACCTCGGCGGCGATGCGTAGAGGACGGAGGCCTGGATGGCGTTGTGATGGATGTTTTCTTGGTCTTGCAAGAACCTCTGGCCGCGCAGAGCTGAGATGTATAGACCGGCAGCCATGAAAACTGTTAGCAGACCAAAAACTCCGGCGGCTGAGAACACTCCCTGTCCGATTACCAGACAACTTTGCTTTGGTGTTTTCCATTTGGTTAGGTGCCCTGATTCTACACTCAGTCCTATTAGCAGCATTATCTCCCCGACGGCAAATGAAATCCTATGAAACAAAAGATGAAGAAGTTGAGAGTGTTTGAATTGAATACTACCTAGGAACTAGGAAGGATTCATATATACCATGTTGCAACAAAGAAAAATCCAGCTTGCCAGGTGAGAGACTTGACAAAATCAGAATCAGGATCCCAGTAAGCTAAAGAAGCTGTTGGGGATTTGCTCACTGCTATCAATAGATATGAATGTTCTAACACCATGGCGAGTGCCAGGGAGAGGAAGGCACCGGCTGCACTCATTAGAGGGGTCTTTCCACTACCACTGTATATGCATTCATACTTCCCATCTCCCCCACCATTCTTAGCCATCCATGAAACCTGAAAAAATTGATTGTTTATTCACTCGACTCGGGTTTTGAATTGCAGAACTAAATGAGCTGTTTGTACCTCGGAACGTGTAGCCTCAGCAATGAGGGAGAGGATGAAGCAAATGAGCCCCAGAAATATGGAACAAACCATGATTACAAGGCCTGTTTTGCTGCTTAAGTCAGTTCTGGGAGGACTAGGGGCGAGATCAGCATGGGTGACCGCCATTGATGCAAAGGGAAGGTTGGGATGGATTGGAACAGAGAGACAGAGAATTCGAGAATTTGAGAGAGGAAAAGGGAAAAACAAGGGGGGTTTTAGAATAGCTTGCAACAAAGGTTGCTTAAAGGCCAGATATTCCATGTCCCTGAGCTTTACATGCAAGTTTTCACACGGGATTCTCAAAAGATAAATGCTTGCTTTTCAGAATGGTGTGGTTTGTTCTTGATCAAACCCAAAAGGGTAATAGTACTCATATTTTATTGATCAAAGAAAGAGGGAAAGATCACAACACTTTAGATATTAAATCTCAAATTAATACCCATAGCATTCAGGATTGTTGACACAATATGGAGAAAAAACAAATTCAATACCCCAACTCTACCAATCTTGCATGAGTAAAAATTTACAAAAAATGTAATAGTATAGGCTGACAGCATATTGTGCGAATAAAAGCTGTACAAGCTAGGTTCTCCTAAGCTTCAGATAATGATAAACAAAATTGCAAAGTCATCGAAGATCTACTACATCAAACTTCAAGTTTGCATTCATATACACATGAGAACAGTGTTCATAGATGGGGCTTCCATCTTCAGCTTCTTCATGCGGGTGGAAACCGCGCTGTTGACAGTTTCGAATTACGGATACACCACCGGGATCAGACAAATGAAAGATACCATGAGGACTGCAACAAACACCAGCAGTGTTATCTATGTCATATTCGATTAGAGGGCAGGTAAAGTAAAGCCTATTCCTAAGAAGGTGTACTTCTCTCCATGGTATGAAAGATAACATAGACAAAAGTTGAAAATTAAAATTGAATTTCAAAGGGAGGATGAATGAACCATAGTTAACAACATTGAAATATACATGAACAAGATGATTCTTAAGAAAACAAGGTTTACCTGGATTCATCGGTAGGAGCCATGACGATTGCAATTGCCTCTGGCAACATAATCTACAATGAGCAAACAAACATACTAATCAGGAAAAAGAGGGTATATATTATATATAGTATAATTCATGCTACTAAGTGCACATAATAGATAAAAATCAAGTCTTGGATATAGAAAGCAAACACAAAAAGCCTTAGTACCTGATAGGAGTAATGTGTGTGCAGATCAACTGATGACATAAAACATGTTTGAGATGGATGGGTCTGCAAATGCCCCAGAAAATCCATATTAATGTGACAGAAAGCTTTCCAGAAATACAGCCAGATAATATCTAAAAGACATATTTCTCAATGACATTATGCTCATTTTTGAACTTTTAACCATATATTAGTTTCAACTTACATTTTTTGCTCATACATTTTGCTTGTAACCAATAGCATTGCAATTTTTTATTTTATTTTTACCAAAAAGTTAAGCCTAATGCAAACATGATAGAGAATTCCCAAAGAGGAACTTCAAAGAACTACAAAATGTACTTGTATTATCACATATATTTATCTTAAAACTTTGCATACCAAGCAAGAAAACAGTGTTCCCACTCTACCATTAGGTTCAATATAATATGACATAGAAAATTTAAACTTTAAGAGAAAATCCAACATCCACAATAGTTGATTTAAAGAGCTACTTTTGGCACTTACATGAATCCATCCAAGAGGAAAAAGAGAAAGTTTGTCCTGAACCTCAAATATTTCTTCTTCATTCAATGTCTGGCACTGAATTCATAAAATAAGTCTTAGTGTTGTGATAATCATTTTACTGAATTTAATCAAAGCATTTCTCAAAGAGCAAAGAATGAAACTCATGAAGAATGGCAAGGCAGTTTGTCTAGTAAGTCTTATGAATCTTCTTAGCTATGAAGCACATTATTCTCTACTTTTTAGTTCTATAATGTGGCATGTAATTCTTGCTGAAGGGTGAATCTCATTCTTTTTACTCTCTCATACCTGCTACTTCTGCAAAATTTCTGAAGGTAAAGTCAATATGCTACTTCATTCCTCTCTTGTAGCTATATCTCCCTATATTCCTCCCTTTTCTTCTTTGTTAACTTATGCAGTTTCTCTCAATCTCATATAGCTATTTGCATCACTCACACCTAAGCTTCCATTATCTCCAAAACACAACCAATTGCAACACTTACCCGTGTGCTGTATCGACTTATTTCGTGTATAACGCTAATAACTAAGCTACGCATTCACTTGACAGCAGAAAGAATGCAAGGTTGCAGCACATATTTTATAATAAAAAATGATAAAATATAAATGCCTTACTGAATCTGATGTTGATTCTTGCTTTGGAATTATAAGGTTAGTGATTTGAAATACTCTGTTCTTCTGTAAATAAGCAAGTAGAGCATATTAGGTGCCTAAAATGTAAAATAATAGATTCAATGAGCAATCATCTTTCACTCTTAGACAGATCATCTTACCAGTGAACCAGCAAGAACACCACATGTTTCTAAGTTTTTTGCTGTATTAGCTCGTGCTAACCTCAAGAAATCGTCCATCATCTTCACTGGCTGCAATTAGAGAATACCGAAGGAAAGGCAACATCCATAAAAAGTATAACTAGCAACCTTGAATAATAAACCAAAAGTATAACTTCCTTAAGCACAAACAAATTCTAGGTAATTAGAACTTACAATATGCAGATGTTGATAAGCATTAGAACCAGTCATCCCATCCTGGGGTTTAACTGGCCCAGGTCTTGGATCAGCAACTCTGGAGGGAGAAATTGGCCGATACTCTTGTTGCACTTGGGCAAGGACAGGAGGGGGAGAAGGTTGATGAATAATATTTGATGAAAGATAATCATTCCTCACATCATCATAAAACGAGCTGGCATCCTCAGTAGGCTGCGACCATCTACCATCATCCAATGAGAGAACTGATTCCATGGTAGGATTATCCACTTTTGAGTCAGCATCCTTGAACGCAATGGGATCATAGTGTCCAACCTGTTTAAGGCTATAACAGTAGACACACAAAATTTAATATGCCATATCCAAGTAACTTGGAACATTATAAAAATAAAAATAAAAAAATAAAAAAATAAAAAAAAATAAAAAAAAAATAAAAAAAAACTAAGAAAAACTTTCAAAATTAGGGTTCATGCCCAGAATAAATAAATTCCAACATGTGACTACAAGGCTAAAACAAAAATACATAGCCTTTGTTTAGGGCCCTAACCTTGACATATCATCTGAATCCAAATAAGTATTGGTTGGATAGTTCACCTGCAAATGATAACCACCAGCAAGGCAGCAATGTTAATTAGCCAGGACATTTCAAATTATCTAAGATGTAATGAAAAAATAAAGTTACCTTTATCTCAGCACTAGGTCCATGCCATTGGCCATGAAGACCATTTGGGCCTAAAAGGGAGTGCCTTGACAGTGTTTCTTGCTTTGGAAGAGGTAAAGAGAGAGATCTGCACATTTCAAGTTGATAAATTAATATATCAAGTTTGCATTCTTAATATTCAGTTACAAAGCCTTAGAGATGTCAAGCATTACACAGAAATATTAGTCTGAAGTCAAAACCATAAAGTGCAGATAGATGCTAAAACAGATGACACGTGAAAAAGAATGAATGAGTAAAGATGGTAACAGTAGCCCTTTTCTTTGGGATAAGCAATGATATTAGTAGTAGTCTAATAAACTATCATGCACCACAATATGAAAAAGATAACTAGACAGACAGCACAACTCACAGCTTTTGGAACTGCAAGTCTATGGAATTCAATGATGAAACTTGAGGGTGATCATTGTTCTGCTTCCATGAAGAAGTTGTGCTGCTGACAGCCTGTGATTCATCCATTATGAAGGTAGGGAGCATGAGGAGGATGGCGATAAACCAGGTAACACAACCCACAAGAAAAGAATGTCAAGAAAATAAAGGGGCAATATGCCAGTCAAATATACTAGGAGAGATGTAATGATTAGCGTCTCAAGCAGATAAAAAGACAACAAATGAGTCTGGTAGCCCAAGGTAGGACAATGAACTGTTTAACTTGCACCTAAAAAACTCATCAGAGTAACTCTACTAAAGAAAATATAGAAGACCAAATTACTACAATAGAAGATCCTCAACCATTCTAGTATAGAGATAAGTCATCAAATGTGTAACCACACAGGAGCATTCAATAATTTTAAATCCTTAAGTAAAAACTTGATTAAAAATCAACAAAAAAAGAAACTAACACTTTCATGATTCACAGTTTACGTGATTGAGAATTTAAAAAGAAGCCTCACCCACTTATTGTCATAGCCTGAAGATGCTTTATTGTCCAATGCGGGCCGCCCTAAAGAATTCCTTGATGATACAGTTGGAGTAATTTCGGAACACTCAAGTTGATAAGGTTGAGCTGTCACTTGACGTTTTTCCAGTTCATTCACTTGACGTAGGAACGTTGGCTTTAGAGCCTCTAGCTCATCTAGCACTCTTAAAAGTGTCTGAAAATAAGATAAAGCAATTGTAAATTTTCCACATAATATTAAGTTAGAGAATGCGTGTGCCTCCTACATTTGGCAAAAAACTGTATCCAGGCATTTGAATTGAGAAAAGAGGAAATCAATAGAATGTAAGATCAGCTGGATAATCCGCAAACATCCCAACAATATTCCAAGCTTGTAAACATAAAGCACTCACCTTTCTTGAAGATGTTCTTTCTTTTGGATACAGAGCCAGGTAATCTCGATGGCAGGGTATAGTTTCAGTCAACAAACTAGTCAAAACAATAATAAAATCATTAGAAGTACATATACAATATATTGTCCTTAAAACTAAGAAACAAAATAGTTAAAAGGTGAAGTTTTTATCTCTTTACCTGGAATATCTAAGCAGCATTATATACAAATCAATAATGTTCTTCTCTCCCCGGTAGATATTTGCCTATGTACAATGAAACAGGAGATAAATTACTTGCCTTCTTCAACAACTAGCACAACAAAACTTAGCAGAAAATAGTTTCCTAATCCTGGCTTGTCACCAGCCCCCAAAATCCCTCACCCCTAACACCAGAAATGCGAAACCACAGTCCTAGATATTAAAACCAGAAGTTCTATAGGATAAATTTGGCTTTAGAAAAAATTATATAAAAATAAAAATAAAAATAAAAAAACCTCAAAGTAAAAGCTTGATCGGTTAGCTCAATTACGATAATATGCACTTCAATTACACAAATAAAATATAAATGTAGGGACCTGCCGGAGTATATTATCCGCGATCCGATAGTAATTGCGAAGTGGTATTCGATTGTCGACGTCGACCTTCCGGGTCATGACACTGACGTTGATCGACGGCCGACTCATGTTTAAGGACTCCGAATAATACCGAAGTTAATTTCCCGGTTAATATACGGCGAGTTTAAGGTAGCCTGGCCGCAAAGACTTGAGCAGAAACTAATTTGGTTTAATTTGCCTCTCTGTTATGTCGACATAGTGTCCTGTATTTTGTAAAGACTAAAGATTAGAGAAGACGGATGAGCAATTATTCTGTGCGGTAGGCACCACCCAACACCTTTTCCTACCAATAGTTTTGTGTCACGTTACGAAGCAACATCTTTATTTTCTGTTTTCCCTTAAATTCTCAATCTAAAAAATGAGTTTTTCTTTTGGTGCGCATAAAAAATGAGTTTTTAATTGTTTAATTTATGTTTTTCATACATTAAATATTACATTAAATTAATCATAAATTCTCAAGAGGCTTTGAAAAAGGTAAATTCTAATGATGTTTCTTTGTAATCTGCATCATAAATTCACTGGTTTCTACCATTGTTATTAGAGTAAGATTTAAGTAAATAGTCGAATCAATTGAGTTACTCTTACAGAATAATTGTTTTAATTTGTTGACAATAATTAAATCTCATTATATAAAATATAAAAAGAAAAACAAAAACCAAATAAGTCCCTAATTAGATGGTTAAGTGCTAAAGTAAAATACTAGCACTAAAATGTTACAAATTCAATTATTGTCAATAGTCATTGTTCTGATTCCTGGTGGCAAGTATCTCTTTTAATATCATCAACTTGTATTTACATATAATGCTACCAATGACCAAACAGCCAAACAGGAAAGCAACATTCATATAAAATGAAAGAGAAGTGGATGAATTGAGCTATGGAGAGTTAGGGTGGGAGATGAGCAAGGTTGCATAGAGCAATTCATTCCAGGCGTCCGGCACGCCGGGAAGGCACCAATGGCTGCAGTCCTGAATCATCCCGGGCAGCCTTTGTCTCCTAGATTGCTTGAAAATGGAAGGATGGCCATCTTTTCTGTAGTCTGTCATTCTGGAAATGTTGAGATACAGCACTGGGGTCTTCATTTCTGCAATCACAGATTCCAGGACCTTCATCATCCATGGATATGGAGCCAGATGGCTCTCATTCCTTATCGGCCTCGTCTCCCCGTCGCAGCTCCCTCCTGAGTTCCACTGTCCCCCTCTGCAAATCCAGACAAATCAGAATGCAAACACATGATAAAATCGATGAATAACTAACATACTTGAAATGAGAAGCAGAATATCCGCGGAAGAACACTCTTGTATGATTCTTGATGTTTGCATCAACCCATTTTGCCCAGGTCTTCAATGCCTTTGTATAAGCATCTGCAACTGCCATACTCCTGAAAACATGCTTGCCTTCTTGGAAGTAGTTGTTCCTGTTGAACTCAAAGTTACAGTTTGGTCTGCTCAAATGTTTCAGGAGAGGAGTGAAGGGATTAAAAAGAAACACTACCATTTGTTGGTGTTTTGGTGAGTCCACCAGTGACCTGTGTTGAAGATGATAATATCAGCATCACGGTATTCAGTGAGAGATGTTTGGATTTTGTCTAATCTTAGTGTTTCTCTTTGCACTCCGGCCATGTCTGAGAACTGCCTTTGTTGAACAAGGAATGGGGATTTGAGAAATTCAATAGAGCACTGGAAATCCTGCAAAAATTGCAGCCATTGAAGCAGAGAACAGAGACAGGAGCAACTAACATTTCTTAAAGAAATCATGATTGCACTGACCTTGAACATGAAAGAGTGATACCCTTGAGTCTTGAACTCATAGTGGCCTGAAACTTCAAACAATCTGCTCTTGTTCACCAGTGATTCTCTCAGGGAACAGATCAACGATTCCCACATGTTCCTGTTGAGAGAATCCCCCACAAAGACTAATCTTTTCCCCCTCAACATCTTCAGCATTTTTAGCCCATCAAACCTTCTCATTTCAGCAGAAAAATCCAAGAAATTAAAATTACCAAAAGCATTGAAGAACTTCAAAGTCTAACAAGATTCAAGAAAAAGTTTCAACCTTGGAAGTTTGCAGCCACTGGGTTTCCACCTGAGTCTGAGGTAATCTGAGTCCGGGCGACCATTCTTGAAGCAGTTGAAAGAATCATCAATAAAGGGGCAAGATCCTGGCTTGTAAAGCGGCTTGGAGTCATCATCTTCAACCCAACGCCCATCAAACAGATCACAAGAACTGACATCTTCTTCCTCCTCCTCGCCCTGAGCATCTGAACAGTTACAAGAACCCGAAAGAAACCGAGCACTGGAGGCGACAATGGAAGACAGCGATGAGATGTAGTTTGACGCAGAGTGAAGGCGAGAAGCGAGAATTTTGGTTGAGGTGAGGGATGGAGAAGCGGCGTGATCCGACGGTGGGAAATTGAAGAGGAAGAGTGCTGATGTGATGAGAATCATCAATGTGAAGCATCCTTGTGTTGCGTATGATTTTGAGTGGTGAGAGCTGCCGAGTTTTCTTGAGGACTCCATTAGAGCACCGCAGAAGTTCTTGGGAGGATATTGCAGTGGCAGTTATAGTTAGTTTTAACTTTTAAGCACCCCTTGCCCTTGGAAATTAATCCATTTTGCTTCCACGGCATTGGTAATAAAATTAAATTGCATATAAATATTTGGACTATGATAAAATTTACAAACCATTATTTCAAACAAAAAAGTTACAAGTTGCACTCTATGGGGAATACCCCAGGTCTTTTACAAGTTATTATACCATGGACCAGGGTCCACCTTGCAAGATGGATTCTAATCCTAAACGGCTTTAAATCAAAACACATAATAGTTGTATAAGGTAATTTGTACATACCGAGTTATCAAATTCTAATATGTTAATATTGTGTGACTGTTGTATCTGAAAGGAATTTGTAAATACAAAACAAGGTAATCAGTTACCTATATATTAACATTGTATGTTCGTAGTATACAAATTATGAACTTTTAAAAGGTAAATCGTGAAAGTTTAGTATATAAATTGTGAATATTTGGACCGGTATCCACAAAATAATTGGCGGTCTTTTACTAAAGTACTCAAGAATGTTTATTTTTATTTTTAAGTTTAATTCAGGAACTTGTATTACTACCTCACTCCTAACTACCTTCATCTTTATCATACAAGCAATTAAGCTTTTAAATCAAGAAACACCAAGCCACTATGATGGAAACTAGGCAATGGACCATAAAACCGGAAGCCTGAAGGGCACTGCTCTCATCACCTTGTATAAATCTCTCCACATCGAAGTTACCTGTGAAGGATCGAAAGAAATAAATGTTCAAACTATAAAACCATTTTCTCAGCTAAGGTAGAGTGTGAATAGAAGATCGGGCCAACATCAAACTATATAGATGGATATATAATAAAGAGTTACCTACCTCTTTTTGAACCGAGGCTGCATGCTTCCTTGACGGTATCCTTCACATCCTTTATAGTGGCCTTGTTATAAAACACGAAGCGTGATAAGATGGATCCGACGCAGTTTAAGACGAGATAAGTCTCCTTCAGGCACGCCCCGTTGCAGAATTGATCTGTATATTCAGGTGGCACATGGAGTTCCCCAGCTTGACTCAGTCTGTAAGCTTCCTCACACCCACTGTAAATCTGCAATTAATTAATGCAACTGATAAGTATCATATCAAATCAAATGTCTAGCTGGTTGAGAAGTTTTTCGAGTGATGAAAAAACCCGCATTCACGAGGGTGTGTACTGGATAAACCCCACAGTCTGGTTGAGAAGTTGACAGCTTACATTCTTGTCATTGAAACACAGAAGGGCTTTGTTGGTAATATGATCCGGATCATCATCATCATCACCAATCGTTCTTCCATTTTCTTCAGACGAGTATCCACTGCCGTGAAGATACTCGTTTTCGAGTACTCCAGCCGCGGCGGTGTGGGGGATATAGTCATCTGCTGCTTCCACTGTAAATGTCAAGAACGACGACGTTATGAAGATATGGCTCAAAGCTAAAGATACAACGCAGTGTTGCATGGCAGCAGAGATTAATGCCATTCTGATATGATAAAACCTAGCTAGCTCAGCTCGCAGGTGAAAATGAGGCAGAATTATAAATAGAAGCAGCTTATTATATCAAATTAAAAGAGTATGATTGTCAAATATTAGGAGAAGTTGGATGGACCGAAATTGTATCGGCAAAAGAGTGGGAGCTAAGCACTGTACTGCACTGGGTGGTTATCTAACAACGACCAGATCACCAAGGAAAGAACAGTCAAGGTGCTAGCCACCTACCATTACTTTGTGAGTACGTATGTAATGACAAATTACTCTTTTAACACGTGTCATGCACCCAAACAAACGAATAACACCACACTACTTGTCAAAATTCCAACAAAACTGATCAATAGTTAATTTGGTAATCATAATACTTTAAGAATAAGGTGCTGGTAAAGATATTACATATCCGAGCCAGCTTTAGAAATCTAGCTTGCAAAATATGGCTAAAGAGAACTGTTCGAAAGCGGTGGCGTTGGTTGTTGGCGCTTCCGGGATGGTTGGGGTAGCATTGGCCGAGGCCTTAAAAGAGCCGACAGCTCTCGGCGGGCCGTGGAAGGTGTACGGCGCTGCCAGACGCCCTCTGCCGTCTTGGTTCCCCACTTCATTCCTCGACGAGTATTACTTTTGATGCTCTCAACTTGGAGGATACACACAAAAGCCTCTCAAAAATCTCCAATGAAGTCACCCATGTTTTCTGGTTAGCCCTGCAAATTGACGAAAAGGAAGAAGAAAACATCAGGCTCAACTCAACCATGCTCGACAACGTCCTCAGATCCTTAACATCCTCGAATTCCAGCAGCCTGAGCCATGTAACCATACAAACCGGTACGAAGCAATACATGGGACCCATTTTCGATCCATCATTGGCGACCGGCAAAATGGTCCCTCACGAAGCTCCCTTTAAAGAAGACTATCCACGGCTTCCATTCCCAAATTTCTACTACGCGCTAGAAGATCTCGTGGCGAGATATGCCGAAAACAATTCTTTCTCCTTCTCTATACACAGATAGTCCATCATAATCGGTGCATCTTCAGTAAGCGTGTTTATATTGGGTTGTTTTAGGCCAAATCAAGTATGGCATCATATGGGCTGAGTCGATTATATTTTTACCTGCATTGTTTTCTTTACTTTTGAGTATTATTTATAAATATGTACCTCTTTAATTACTAATTCATTTTAAGATGGGCTGTTTAACAGCCAAATAACCCACGTTGTTTAAATTTGACAAAAATCTTATTTTTATTTCATATGGTCTAGCAATCGTTATGCTGTGCATCCGTATACGGATGTCAAAACGACGTCGTTTTATTAAAAAACGCGTGTTTCCCCTTTAAAAAAAATTCAGGTTCGATTCTCAGCAACAACATTATATTGTTCATTCATTCTGGAATTTTAGTTCATAAATTATGAAATTATAGTTCATTGATTATGGAATTATAGTTCATCGATTATGGAATTGTAGTTCATCGATTCTGAAATTTTAGTTTATAGATTATGGAATTTTAGTTCATTCATTCTGAAATTTTTAGTTCATAGATTAGATTATGAAATTATAGTTCATCGATTATGGAATTTTAGTTCATATGTTATTGCTGGGAATCGAACCTAATTTTTTTTTTTAAGAGAAGACGCGCTTTTTATTAAAATGACGTCGTTTTTGCATCCGTATGCACCATGCATGGTGCATACGGATGCACAGCATAATTTGCCATGGTCTAGCCTTAATAAAAGAAAAAATTTAGTTATTTATTAATTAATTAAATACTTACTATGTAAATATCTATCAAATTTATTGATTTGGTTAGGGATGGCCCATTCTAGTCATTTCAATGTTAGTGCCCGTCAAAATCCATCACAACAAGTATCTACTATTTATTTAATACTTCCGAACTATGACATTGACCATATTGTTGCTACGAAAAGTCTATGTCCACACCTAATTAGACTAGGATAGATGTTTGGGATTTCAATTCTTAGGTTATTATTATCCCTACAATATTCTTTTACTTTCAAATATTTTCTATATATATCATATATCAATATATATAATAGTACTAATAGTAATAAAAGATATTAAAAAATAAAAAGATGATGTAATTTGGCAGTTTTTTGTGTCTAGAAAGCTTACAAGACGCATGACAAGCAAAAAAATAAATAAATAAATAAAAAATTCCACGTTATCTTGAAAAAATCAAAATTGTAACCTTACACCAGTCTCGCTCATTAATTACCATTACAAAAACATAACACTTAACGATAAAGTCAAGTAGCTAATTTATTATAATTAAAATAAAACCATAATTTATACTTATTATAATAAACTACTCTGTATCAATAGCTGATAATGTAACTAATTAAAATAAAAACTATTTATTTAGTACATGAGTCATTTTACATCCCTACTAAAATCACACTTTAATAATTAAATATTTACTTTTTGACATATTATTATCGGATTGTATTCAATATATAAGATCCGGTGTGAACATTGTGCAAAACATTTAAACATATTAGGCCAGTTAGAAATATGTTGTAAATTGCTTGACTTTCCCTGCCGTCTATTTTTACTTTTTTAGTCAATACCGTGTTATTATACTATATTATTGATATTATTGATATTATTGATTGGCTCTAAGTTATTATACTATCCTCGATCTACATCTCCTAGCTGCTAGCTTGTTTCTAACTTTTTCCACACTTTAGCCTTAATTAGAAATCTAGCTTGCAAAAATGGCGCAAGAAAACTGTTCTAAAGCGGTGGCGCTGGTAATCGGAGCAACCGGGATGGTTGGGGTGGCGTTGGCCGAGGCATTAAAAGAGCCGGCAGCTCTCGGCGGGCCGTGGAAGGTGTACGGCGCTGCCAGGCGGCCTTTGCCGTCTTGGTTCCCCGCTTCATTCCTGGACGAGTATATGACTTTTGATGCCCTCAACTTGGAGGATACACACAAAAGCCTCTCAAAAATCTCCCATGAAGTCACCCATGTCTTCTGGTTAGCCCTGCAAGTCGACGAAAAGGAAGAAGAAAACATCAGGCTCAACTCAACCATGCTCGACAACGTCCTCAGATCCTTAACCTCCTCGAATTCCAGCAGCCTGAGCCATGTGACCATACAAACCGGTACGAAGCAATACATGGGACCCATTTTCGATCCATCATTGGCAACCGACAAAATGATCCCTCACGAACCTCCCTTTAAAGAAGACTACCCACGACTTCCATTCCCAAACTTCTATTACGCGTTAGAAGATCTCGTGGCTAGTTACGCTGAAACCAATTCTTTCTCCTTCTCTATACACAGATCATCCATGATAATCGGTGCATCTTCAGTAAGCGTGTTCAATTTAATGCTAAATCTGTGCGTCTACGCCATTATTTGCAAGGAAAATGGGTTTCCCTTTAGATTTCCTGGGAACCGTTACCTGTGGGAGCATTTCTCGGACGCGTCTGACGCAAGGTTGCTGGCGGAGCAGCAGATATGGGCAGGGGTGACGGAGAAGGCGAAGAACCAGGCGTTCAACTGCACCAACGGAGATGTTTTCGCGTGGAAAACCATTTGGAGACTTTTCTGCGACATGTTTGAGTTAGAGTTCGTGGCGTTTGAGGAGAATGGCGACAAGGAATTTGATATAGCAGAGTTCATGAAGGATAAGGGAGAGATTTGGGAGGGTATAGTTAAAAAACATGGACTTTTCAGAACCAAAATGGAGGAGATCACTTGCTATCCTGCACTGCAGACTGTGTTGAGTTTCCAGTTTCAACACGTTTGTAGCATGAATAAGAGTAAAGAATTTGGGTTTCTTGGATATGCTGATACATTGAAGAGGATTACAGTTTGGGTGCAAAAATTGAGAGAAATGAAGATCATTCCATGATTTTATCTATTCCCAGTTACAAACGTACTTTGGTGTTACGTTGCTCGCTTTGCGACGGTATCGTGGTGCAATAATATAATGTAATGTCTGTTGCCACTTCTCAAAGCTTTATTATTTTAACAATAATTTTTATATATTAATTTTATTTATACAAAAAATATAAAATAATATATTATATGAGGGTCATTTTAATGTATTTGTGTTATAATGAATTGAATTATTTAACTTTTTTAATGAATTTGTAATATTATATTATAATAAATTTAAATTCGATGCAGTATAGATTCCGAAATGGCTTCTTTAGCGGGCAGGAGGAGTGGAGGACCCACACTGTCAATATTGGACAAAAATCTAGTTTTAATTTGTGTGCCGATGAAGTCTGTGCCATGGTATCATGCTGTCACTGAATTGGTGTGTGGTTTTCTGTTTTGAAATAAACATAACTCCATTAGGGCATTAACTATAAACGATCCAACTACAAAGCATCCAAATGAAATGATTGGAGTTGGTACAATGAACATTCCTTGCAACCTGATAAAAGAATAGAATTCTCGAGCTAAAAAGTGAGTAACTTTGTTCACATATGATTTTACAAAAGAGACATAAACATAAACAAATTGACTCAACATCATGTAAGATTAAATTAAAAGAAGACTCTTGAAGGGTATCCATATCAATATAAACATTGTCCAGATTCCTCATCTTTAACGAACAGAGTGTTTCCCCAGGAGCAATGGTTTCGACTTCCTTTGGGAAGATACGAACATGCCCTGCCATAGCGTACATTTTGCTGCTATAATGTCAACTTGCAATCATCCCGGAGGACCCAACCAATGAATTTTTCCTAACGAATCGAATAAAAAGGAAGGTCTTACTATCCGTCCCTGATCCTTGCTCGTATTGTGTGTGGTTAATTTGTAAGCACATACATAGTACTCCATACTATTGTTGTACATATTAACTCATTTTAGTCATTTCAATTTTATTGTGTGTCAAAATTAATCTCAACAAATTAAATATTTACAATTTATTGAATAAGTCCTCAAATAATACAAAAAAAAAAAAAAAAAAAAAAAAAAGACCATATTATTGCTATAACATGATAATATTAGGCAAAAACAAAAACAAAGAAATAAAAACTCAAAAGACTGCATAAAAAGTCAAACAATTTGCAAAACTTTTATATTTTACAACTAACACGTAACTGTTGTAAATATTTATGATAGTCACTGTTGTGTAATGTTTGTAGGAGAAATATTAATGTGTATGTCATTATATTATTATTCTGTTATTATATATTTGTGTGTACCCCATTTGTATAGGAGATGAGGGTATAATGCAACCTTTACTCCTCTTCTCATCCCTATCTATTGTTTTACTTTGTACTTTTTACTTTTATGTTATTGATACAATTATGCAACCTACCGGTTAAGAGCTAAAGGCCAATGTACATAAACAACAGTACAGATTCTAACACGTTATCATCAAGGTCAATACACTCTTGTGAAAGGTAATATTATGAATTTTTTTATGCTTTATTCTTTCAGGATGCCTAAAATCATGTACATATGTCCATGTTTATATTTTATTATGCATTTCTGAATATGTACTGTGAAATTTGATAATATGAATGTCTATTTCTTGATAGCATATATTTGCATCAAATGAATATATTTTGTGAACTTGTCTATTCTGTCTTTTTTAGCCGTCTAGCCACTTATTAGACTAAATGACTGTTAGCTGACAGTAGGACTAGTTGATAACATTAGCTGATTGTATAAAGATGTTTGGTAAATTAATTGTTAACTTATTGTTGTTTGGTATAATTTATTTTCTCACAAACTAATTGAAAAATGTACTTTGAACAGTTTTTTGAATTTTAACATTTTTGAGTTACACACTTACACAGTTTATTAACCATACACTTATATTGATTTTTTAACAAAGTCAAATAAGTCAATATTGTGTGTCTTATTTTACGAATTGATGCATGTCTTGTATTATGAAATTATGTGCATATAGGACATAAATTATTTACATAAATCAGATATGAGATTAAGTAAAATATAAAACATCTGTATGTATCTCGTGTTATGCGTTTCTGTATATCATGTTATGCGTTTTTGTACATCATATTACGAAATTCTGTACACTAAGCATAAAGATTTTGTACAAAAAATTGATTAGTAGTTTCGACAATTCAACCAATTCAAATTTGGACAATTAAGAGTTTATTTATTCTACCAATTCAAATTTGTGGACAATTTGTACCTTGTTCTTCTTTAGTTTTCTATAGATATTTGACTTTCAAAGGTTGAGGTAGTTTGGAGAAATATAGGGTGTTTATTAGGTAGACACCATGAATGATAATGAAAGGAATACTCATTATTTGGTTGACAACTTTTTAAAACAAGTATAAGATTTGATTATCTTTATAATTACAAAATTTATTATCCAATTTAAATCATATATCATCCTATTAATTCAGTCTTATCCCTCCTCATTTCGTCGTCTCCGGTCCTCATTTCGTCGTCTCCTCAATTCATCGACTTTATTGTTTACTCACTTCCTCGTCATTCTTAATCAATTGCCTTGATTTTTTTAAAAAAAATATTTTTAAAACTTTTATTCCGATAATAGGATCATACATATATAACCAAACATTAATATTAGTAATCGTTCCTGTAAACACAAAAAATGTTGAAATAGTATATATTCACAAAATTCCGTGTACAGCGTGTGTATAATTCAATGCAGGTACAAAATCTCTGTCTAGTCCTCTGATTCTTCACTAACGTTATCTATGGAAGTGCCTCCGAGATTCAATTAGCGTAGCCTCCGGGATTCAATTGGCGCGTGCCTCCGGGATTCAAGTGGCGTAGCTTCCAGGATTTAAGTGGCGTAGCTTCCGGGATTTAATTGGCGCGTCTTCCAACAACGAGCGTCAAGAATTTAGAAGTAATCAACCCTGCAAAGTTTCAAAACACATGCAATGGATTCAAGCTGCCTTAAGGTCCTCAAATGCCTTCAAAAGACTTCAAGATCTTCGAGGCAATCAATTCTGCAAAGCTCCAAAGTACCTACAATGGATTCAAATTGCCTGCAAAAACAAAAATGCCTTCAAATCTTCAAGCGTTCTTCAATGCTTTCAAGCTCTTCAAATGCTCTCAATTCCTCAAGTCTTAAGTTGCTCAATGTCTTCAAGCTCTCAAGCCTTCAAGTTCTTCAAGCTTTCAAGTTCTTCTGGAATGAAATGAAGGATCTATTTATACTTGAAGCCTAACCAACATTCCTCAACAAACTCCCCCTTTAATCAATTAATTAATTAATTAATTATTCTAGAAAATGAACCTTGCCTAGAATCAAGTCCAGGTTCATTATTGTATAATCTAATTCAAATTCAAACTAAATTATAATTATCTAATTCAAATATAATAAAATTAATATTATATTTAAATTATAATTATAATTTGAATTCAAACATGAAATGGGCTTGGGCCAATTAATTAATTAATTCAATGGCCCAAATCAAACTTAATTGGTCTAATTAAATTAATTTAATTTCCATGATCCAATTAATCAAATTGGCCCAATCATCATTCTCAACATTGGCCCAATAACACTTTAATCGGTCCATTTATCGGGTTCAAATTTTCGGTGTCTACAGTTCCAATTTCACCATACTACCAAACATGCAAAATACATTTGTCAAAACTCATTATATTCCAATGGCATTGACTGTGGCTCTCTCCTAAATGGGAAGTCAGGTTCGTACCCCAATGGATGCATTTACTCGTTTTGCATGCTTCAATAGGTTGAGAAAGTATGTATAGATAGATACTATATTGTAACAAGTTAGTCGTAACTACTAAAAAACTGATTATTATTATTTTTTTTGTGAGAAAAGAGGAGATTAGAAGTCCCAAACCAGCCAGGCTGCTCATATTGCTTAGAGAAATATCCAGAATCGTGGTCCCCAGATATTGCTATGACCCAAAGTAGCTAAAAAATCAATACATTGATTTTGTTGCCTTCGCCCAGGACATGGCTAAAAAAAAAAAGATTATAATACTACAACAACATTATTACAACAAAAGAATATATATTAATTGGGAGAAGATCGAGGAATATTTATTTATTTATAGTGCTGTCAATCCTGTCACCCCACCAAGTAGATTAGGTGCGAAAATTGCGCAAACCATATGAAAGGTATGCATTATGTAATGCGCACCCATCTTTAATATATTAAAACATCTTAATAAAGTTTTAGAAAATTTAAATTTTTTGTTTAGATAATACTAACCAAGTTGATCAAGTTGTTATCTCAATAACAATAAATTTTTAAATTCGACTATCAAGGAGAATGGCCTACTGACTATCACCTAGGTTATTATTATTATTATTTATTTATTTTTTGTTTCGAAGACAAATAACGTAACTCGAACGGCTAGAGCCTTTATATTAATTGGCTCAAAGTTATCACACATCCTCGATCTACATCTTGAGCCTTTAGATATCTAACTTGCAAAAAAATGGGGCAAGAAAACTGTTCTAAAGCGGTGGCGCTGGTTATCGGCGCAACCGGGATGGTTGGGGTGGCAATGGTGGAGGCTTTAAAACAGCCGACAGCTCTGGGCGGGCCGTGGAAGGTCTACGGCGCTGCCAGGCGCCCTTTACCGTCTTGGTTCCCCTCTTCTTTCCTCGACGAGTATATGACTTTTGATGCCCTCAACTTCGAGGATACACACAAAAGCCTCTCAAAAATCTCCAACGAAGTCACCCACGTTTTCTGGCTAGCCCTGCAAGTTGACGAAATGGAAGAAGAAAACATCAGGCTCAACTCAACCATGCTCGACAACGTTCTCAGATCCTTAACATCCTCGGATTCCAGCAGCCTGAGCCATGTTACCATACAAACCGGTACGAAGCAATACATGGGACCCATTTTCGATCCATCACTGGCAACCGACAAAATGATCCCTCACGAAGCTCCCTTTAAAGAAGACTACCCACGGCTTCCATTCCCAAACTTCTACTACGCGCTAGAAGATCTCGTGGCTATTTACGCAGAAACCAATTCTTTCTCCTTCTCTATACACAGATCATCCATCATAATCGGTGCATCTTCATTAAGCGTCTTTAATTCACTGCTAACTCTGTGCGTCTACGCCACTATTTGCAAGGAAAAAGGGTTTCCGTTTAGGTATCCTGGGAACCGTTACACGTGGGAGCATTTCTGCGACATGTCTGACGCAAGGTTGCTGGCGGAGCAGCAGATATGGGCAGGGGTGACGGAGAAGGCGAAGAACCAGGCGTTCAACTGCACCAACGGAGATGTTTTCGCGTGGAAAACCATTTGGAGACTTTTCTGCGACATGTTTGAGTTAGAGTTCGTGGCGTTTGAGGAGAATGGCGACAAGGAATTCGATATAGCGGAGTTCATGAAGGATAAGGGAGAGATTTGGGGTGGTATAGTTAAAAAACATAGACTTTTCAGAACCAGAATGGAGGAGATCACTTGCTATCCTGCACTGCAGACAGTGTTGAGATTCCAGTTTCAACACGTTTGTAGCATGAATAAGAGTAAAGAACTTGGGTTTCTTGGATATGCTGATACGTTGAAGAGTATTAGAGTGTGGGTGCAGAAATTGAGAGAAATGAAAATCATTCCATGATCTGTTATACCCTGTTTCAAAACATATATATACATCTGTGTTCGTTGTTTAATTTGCTTTTCGACGCTACTTATGTTGTAATATCATGTTTGGCACTTGGCAAAATAAAGAAGTTTTTTCCCCCCTCAAAAGAGTAATCGAATGGTTGAGACTTGAGAAACGGGTTAAAAGTTTAATTTTGTCAAATATTTTCCGGAATGGCTTCTTAGTTGGTATGCCGACCCATACTGGACGACAAAAATCTTATAGTTTATGATATGTGCAGATGAAGTTTGTGTTATTGTGTGGTTTGTAATCACACATAAAGTACTATTGCTTTTTTATATTGACCCAATTTAGTCATGTCATTTTTATTGTGAGAAAAAATTAATATCAACAAATCAAATATTTACTATTTAATTTATTGAACAAGTCCGATCCTCTGAGCTCATCCCACAAATCTTTTCCACGTTTGACCCTTTCTTTAGTTGGGCATTCCTTGGAGCTCATACCCACTATGACTATGACGTTGTTGACTTGTTGTGAATATCACCTCCTTACCAAATTTATAATACAAACAATTCCATGTTAGAGATAAATGTACAATCTAACATAAACTTAATAAAATTTAGACTACAAGAAGCCTAATTTTGTAAAATTTTTAGAATGATCGAGCTATCTCTATCATAATTTGATGTCTTCTTGTTCGTGTTTGGAATGATAAACTTGCAGGGTAACCTTAGTTATTTTGTCAACTATTTATCTCCAAATACTAGATGGTGAAGTGTATTATACTGTTATGTCAACATGTGTTGTGGTGGACCTTTTTTAGGAAACATACATAACATCATTATAGGCAAACAATAAGTAAAAACAAAACTAAAACTAAATACCTAAGCACCAGGTCTGATATATATGATCTTAGCGTAATTGGTTCGTTGTCTGACTTAAAGATCATAAAGGGAGGCGATAGTGTGGGGGTTTGAATCCCAAAAAAACATGCACAATTTATCTCCGCAATGACTATAAAGACGAGATCTTGTGAACCAAATTGAGATCGCCTAATTTTTTGTCTTAGAAAAAAAAAATAAAAAAACTAAATATCTAGGTTTCTTTATTTGTCTAAGTCACTAATTGACTTAGTCAAATGTTTGCACTAAAAATATATATACTCAAATAATACGGAGTATATAATATATTATACTAATATCGAAAATTCTTACCTCCGATCCGATGTTGACCATAAATGTTACGTTGTCGTTGCTAAAAAGTCTTTCCATTCTTATATTTTTAATACATATATGTTTAATTATAAAGCTAATGACATACAATTTCCTCATTTAATATGTGTCACTCAAATAAACAAATAACACTTATCTTCAAACTCCACTATTCCGGCCGCCATTAATTACCATTACCAAGAAAAAAGTAAATAAGATAGAGTTTTTTTTTTTAATTTTATTGTAATACTTACAACAACCTTACAACAAAAATATATATATTTATTTATTTATAGGTGCTGTATGGTCTTGATCCACCAAATACATTACGTGAGAAAATTACATAAAATGTTAATTCAAAAAATTATTTTGAGCAATTTTTAAATTTTAACTTTTTTAGAATAATAATGGTCAAACAAGTTAAATAAGTTAATTAACTATTTTTACTAAACATGGACATTAGATTATAATGTAACGTAACTCATCAGCTAAGATGTGATATTAAATGTTTCAATGTTATCACTCATCCTCGATCTAGATCTTCTAGCTATTCGATCCACTCGAGCCTTTTGAAATAACCTAACTTGCAAAAAATGGGGCAAGAAAACTGTTCGAAAGCAGTGGCGCTGGTTGTCGGCGCAACCGGAATGGTTGGGGTAGCGATGGTGGAGGCTTTAAAACAGCCCACAGCTCTCGGCGGACCGTGGAAGGTCTACGGCGCCGCCAGGCGGCCTTTACCCTCTTGGTTCCCGTCCTCTTTCCTCGACGAGTATATCACTTTTGATGCTCTCAACTTCGAGGATACACACAAAAGCCTCTTAAAAATCTCCCACGAAGTCACCCATGTCTTCTGGTTAGCCCTGCAAGTTGTCGAAAGGGAAGAAGAAAACATCAGGCTCAACTCAACCATGCTCGACAACGTCCTCAGATCCTTAACATCCTCGAATTTCACCAGCCTGAAACACGTTACCATACAAACCGGTACAAAGCAATACATGGGACCTATTTTCGATCCATCATTGGCAACCGACAAAATGATCCCTCACGAAGCTCCCTTTAAAGAAGACTACCCACGGCTTCCATTCCCGAACTTCTACTACGCGTTAGAAGATCTCGTGGCTAGTTATGCCGAAACCAATTCTTTCTCCTTCTCTATACACAGATCATCCATCATAATCGGTGCATCTTCAGCAAGCGTGCTAAATTCACTGCTAACTATGTGCGTCTACGCCGTTATTTGCAAGGAAAAAGGGTTTCCGTTTAGGTATCCCGGGAACCGTTACACGTGGGAGCATTTCTGCGACATGTCTGACGCAAGGTTGCTGGCGGAGCAGCAGATATGGGCAGGGGTGACGGAGAAGGCGAAGAACCAGGCGTTCAACTGCACCAACGGAGATGTTTTTGCGTGGAAAAGCATTTGGAGACTGTTGTGCGACATGTTTGAGTTAGAGTTCGTGGAGTTTGAGGAGAACGGTGACGAGGAATTGTTCGATATAGTGGAGTTCATGAAGGATAAGGGAGAGATTTGGGAGGGTGTAGTTGAAAAACATGGACTTTTCAGAACCAGAATGGAGGAGATCACTTGCTATCCTGCACTGCAGACTGCCAGGAGATTCCAGTTTCAACACGTTTGTAGCATGAATAAGAGTAGAGAATTTGGGTTTGTTGGATATGCTGATACGTTGAAGAGGATTAGAGTGTGGGTGCAGAAATTGAGAGAAATGAACATCATTCCATGATCTCATCTACTCCCTGTTTCATTTCAAACGTAGTACATCTGTGTTGTCTGCTTTTTGACGCTACTTATGGTGTAATAATGTATGTCTGTTGGCACTTGGTAAAGCTTCAACTGTTGCCCAACAAAATAAACACTATGAAATTAAATTAACCAAATAGTTATGGTGAAGAAACTGTGTTGTGGAAAGATGATGCATGCATGCTTCTTACAAAACCGAACAGGGATATAGGCAAATGGTGGATTGATTTGTGAATTCTTACAAAGCGCATACATATATATTCACCGAATTGAATCTCAAATAAGTTTCACCAAAATTAAAAGCACAGAACACAGATTGAGCGTTTAGGAGCTCGATGTCCCTAGCTTCCAGATGTACAAGCTGGTCTTCGAGGCGGCAGTTGCTGATGAGGTGTTCTCTTTAATTTATACAAAAATTCGTTAGGAAATTCAAATGACAATACAACATTGTACCACATCGAAATTCTAGTTACCTGCAGCTTTGGACGCAATGTTTCTATAGCCACTGTTGACTTCTGGTTCAATCCGGCACCTTGCTGTTTTAGCCATTAGACCAACTGTTTAGAAGTGAGACCATTTCTATTTTCTAACCTATAATTGAAATGTGCTGTAAACCCCAAGTTAATTGACAACATATATTACTTCAGTACTGCTATTCATCCATTAATTAAATACCTTGTACAAAGCCCAATCAGCAGAATCAAAGAAAGCCCTTTCATTGTCCTGTGGTTACGTTGGCCCACAACATATTAGAATTACATACAATACAAGTCCAAAGCAGTTTCATAAAACATAGGATTATTCTAGGACCCGCTATATTCAACTTGCCTTGGAGATCAAGGGCTTTTTAGGCATCAGGACTCCATATTTGCTACCCTGAGAAGTAGCCTATTGAATTAAATAAAAAAAAAATTCCATAAATATTCAAAATATGATGGGGTACAATAACATTATGTACAAGAAAATAATTGTAATTTTTAAAGATAAAATTGCAATTTAATCATCATATTTAAATTAAATCAATATTTTCCACCTCACACAAATTCTAAGATGGGGGCACAAATCATATCAAATGAAATGGTAATAAACAGCCCGACCACAGCTGACAACCCCCACAATATTTGTTTGTTTCTACTAATCAAAATGCTCCCATACAAAAACCAGCCGACACTATTATTTTAGAACACTCGTACAAAAAGATTCCAACACTTTTTGATCAATAATGTCACCAAGAATGTGGCCCGTATTGCATATTCCCTAGTATACTAATCACAAACTTATAAAATCATATAATATTTTCGAAACAAGTATGAATATCAATATGTAACTTAGTTAGTTCTTGGATTAATAATAAGCATAATTAAACTTCAATAATCTGAGGGTTTCACCCTATCCGATTTAGTTAACAAGAAAAAAATGAAATACATAAAGGAGTAAGTACCTGATGATATTGGGAAGAAGCAGAGTATTCTTCAGAGTTGTCTTTATATTCTGCCATGGCCTCGATCTCTTCACCTTCCCACACCGCTGTTCATCAAACGGTTAAACCCATCTCTCTATATACACACATACGTGGAAAGATGACAAGAAACATGATTAGATGTACAATGAATCTTGATTAACACAATCAATGAACCTTTTACGTTATTGAATTGATTGACGCTAAATTGCGTACGCGTCTGTTTCTTTATGTGCGTTGGCTTTGTAGATATGCCCGTTGGGGACTTTATTGGAAAAGACCCAAATATGAGACCAACAGGTTTAAATAAAATTACAATAAGACAAAAGCATATATGTGTAATTATATTGCGTATGAACAATGGTCAAAAAAAGAGAAACTTTGAGTATTCAACAAATGAAAGATACCCAGCAACAACGTTGTATACATACGTGTATGTGTGTGTATGTATATGTAGAGAGAGAGAGAGAGAGTGAGAAGGGGGGATCTTCCATTACCTTGAAGCAGAGGAAATTAGAGAATACATGTACTCTAATTAGTCTATATGTAGTTTAAATACACTACAGTGTCGGTCGTTTTGAACTATGGTCCATAAAACTTTGTGGACCTCAATCAACAATATAATTGATGCACAATTTTAAAATTTTCAAATTGGGCCTAGAAAGTTTCATTAATTCAACACTTCAGGGGATGTTTGGTTAGAGGCCCATTCGGTGTCTCGCCCCAACCGCCGAGGCGCCGACGAGCACGAACAATACACATTTTTTTTTGGCCGGTGATGGAGTGATGGGACAGGTCAAACCGTCAACGTCACGGAGAAGCTGGAGTACGAGGTGGATTAACATTTTTTTTTTTTTGAATGCAGGTGGATTAACATTTACTCGGCCAAAAATTTCTTAGTTGTTGGTGTAAAGCCAAACATATTCTTAAAGAGACAAATGTTAACCATAATTAAATGGCGACAATACAGTATGTACACCGGCCATTATCTAGTCCTTTTATTCTATTATCAAATTTACACTCATTAGTTACTTGAATCACATGAATCAAAACCTATGAAGATATAACCTAGCTACCATTCAATATAAAAAATAATTCTTCAAAATTTTGTAAAATAATAATTAAAAATAAAAAAAGACAAAAGAGTTCGTAACTGCTTTCCAATCCATTATCCAAAATGAACATTTTTTTTTTTTTTTTGTAACAAAATAAACTCTAACCTGATCAACTTGACGCCATTTCCATTAAAAGTACCTTTTTTAATATTAAATTATTATTTTCTTTTAAAAATTTGAATATCAATCAAACTGACAACATTTTATTTCATTTATAAAGTTCAAATTTGAAATATTACATCTAAAATTTAGTAATAACACTTTAATTCTAATGTTACGCAGTTATGATATAGGGAGAGGTATGGGGGTGGATTCTGATTCTGCAATGTCTTCTCTTCTCCATGAAAGACCAAGAAAAAAGCTTGTCCGCACAAAACCAAGGTCCAAGGATATTTATCTCTTTGCCTGCCGGCCACCTTATCCCCATAAATTGACTCTCTATATATATATTCCACCATCTTCTGTATGTTATGGTGTCGTGCATGTACGTACTCGATCATGCATATATGTCCCAGGAAACCTCGATCGCCCATTGAATCTCTTACGTTCATCGCCTCGTATAAACTGAAGTGTCAAACAATCGAGAAAATTCCTCAGTTTCCAACTTCCATCATTATATTGTCGAGCTTGAGGTTAATTGAATTGTTTGGTTTTCTTATGTCTGCATGCAGTTAATCTAATACTATACGGAAGTGGAGCCATTGGCTTTTAATTCCGTCCGCATTCCGGAACTGAACAACAAAATTTTAACTCTTAACTGTTTTTTTTCCTAAATAAAGCACATATCACGTGAAGCATAACGTTGCTATAGCTACAAGAAACATACATCTTGTATAATTTTATTTTCTTTTTTGAGCATATCAATATAAACGTGTAATCCAACTATCAGTTTAGACATGTTTGAGATGAAGCATATGCTTCAATTTGATATATATCAGAGCCAAGATACTATCCTCACACGTGAAGGGGCGTGTTCGGTATATCAATATTATAAATGTGTAATTCAACTATTAATTTAAACTTTTAGTTGAGATGTAGCACATGCTTCAATTTTCTTAATCTTTCTTTTTTTTTTTTTAATTATTATGGCCGTGTTTGGTAAAAAATTGACCTATAGGTCAATTTTGGCTTTTTGATCACTATTAATTGTTTGATTTAGACTTTTTCTTAGACCCAAAAATGCGAAGGTCACATGCATGCATCATCATCACAGCCATTAGCCACTTACCATTTGGCAAGTGCATGAATGCTACTTTTAATACCTGTACGTTTTGGAATTAGGCTTTGTTTGGATATTGGATTACTTTAGTTGTTATAATTCATGATGATCTTATGGTTTAGTGGCATGAAATGACAATTTTAATTGGAAGTTATGAATTTGAGTCATAGTGGTTAATAAGTTGAGATAATAGTTATGAACAAAAATTATATTATAACAAAGTCAATAATACTAAAAAAAAATCACGTTAATTGAAATATACTATGCATTTGATAAATTAGCTATTCATTTTGTTAAGTATAGTGTGGATCGCTAACTGTAACTAGACGAACCTCTATGTTATGTCTCGATCGACAAGGTCTTTAACATTTGTTACGTTCTAAGTAGTTAAGTTCTCAATACGAACACTCGGCAGCACTTAACTTTTTTATCACAATAAGATCTTCTAAAACGTTCCTCAACAAGGTTCTTTTTGTGTTTCCAATGATTGTTTGAAGTGAATTTCAAATTTTCAATTCCTTGCATGTGACCATATATAGACTAATTAGAGTACATGTATTCCAAACTTTGTTATATATAGACCATAGACTAGTTAATGTTCATATAAATTTTTCTAGATGGGGGATTCCTTTTTTATCCTCGCAGACCGCTTCATACACCCTCAGCGAAGCTTCATACCATTCATTCCAATCACTAGTTGTAGCAACACATATATATAGTCCTCGAAATGTGAGATCAATTATGGATATTGAATTTATGTTACCCATACTAGGAGAGAAATGCACTAATAGGCATCATTATTTGAATAATATTATCTCTCACACACACACATATATATCAAAATAAGTCAATCATATCACTCAATTGGGTACGAAATAAGGTGTAGTATATTGAGTAGCAATAAGTGAGTATTTGTCTTTGGCTAGTTTGAGGTTGCACTATTTATATAAGAATTATTGACCAATGATGTGATTATGAATGACAAGTTGACCGATGTGGCAAGTTTATATTGAAGGATAAAGACAATAATCAAGTTAATTGACGAGAGTTATTAAAAAAAATGCATCAATTATAGTCTTTTGCTATTTTCCCTAGCTAGTCATTCATAGGTTATTGGTAATAAGGTATGCCAATTGGTTATGATGATGTCGGTAAGTTGAGTTCTGAATTTTGATTTTGTAGACATTTTGGTTGGGTTATTATATAACTCCATCAATAAACATTGTATTTAAAAAAAAAATTATTATATTTGATTCTTGATGGGACTCGAATTAGGCCCATGGTAGTTATTTGAGGTCGGAATGCGGGCCAAATATTAATTTTCTTTGACTTAAAAGACACCAACAAATAAATGTCAAATTTGTTAATCACTTCACTCATTATAAAAAATACAATTAATTATCCAGTTATATGATAAACATGATTCAATAGACCATGCATATAAATACAAATTTTTATTATGGTTCCGTTTGGTAAATGACTGTTAGCTGATTGTGTTAATTAGAGATTATAACTAGTTGATAACATTAATTTTTGTAGAAAAATGTTTGGTAAATTAGCTGTTAGCTGACTATTTGGTATAATTTTTTTTATAAAAAAAATTAATTGAAAAAGTTACTTAGACTAACTTTTTAAATTTTAACATTTTAAAATTACAAAAAGCTAATTAACCAAATACTTGCATTGATATTTTAACTAAATCAAACAATTAATAATTGTTAAATAAATTAAAATTAACCTATAAGCCAAACAGGGCCTATATATTTCCGTAAACGAGTTAATACAATAAAATCGTGCAACTAAATTTGATAAAAAAATTGTTTTAAGTGTCGCGTTGTCTTTTAATACTTGGTTAAACAGAATACGGAGGCGCTATGCCGCTATTGGTTCTCCTCTGTCATTTTGTTGACTTGAATTATTACTGTCCGACGCTAATACACTCGCGAAAAAGTACGAATTGCTATATCTCCGCCGGTCGTCATAACTCTTTCTATCTGATCGCGTTTCCACTTCTGGTCTGCTCTGCTCTCTCTTTCTACCTCTCTCTCTCTCTCTCTCTATATGTATATATATCTACACATGTGTATGTGTTATGCGTGTGTCCGTGTGTCCGTGAAAACAAATATAGGTTAGGTGTAGAACGAGTAATGATTGACGTGTTTGTCAGGCTCTTGATTAGTTAGGTCTGATTGTATTTTTGATGTTAATTTGGTTGACTGTTGATTTCAGCTTACAGGGTTTTAAGGTTTCGATGTTTTGTTGAGCTGGATTTTAAGGTCGTGGCTCGAAATGGAATATGGAGTACAAGGTCTGCTTGCTGGGTCTGATATTCATGGATTCCACACCTTGGAAGGTAAGGCGAACTGTGTACGCTTCGCCGCATTCGCGCTTAATTTGTGAAATATAGATAGTTACTGTGTGGGAAATTGGTCGAATTTCGTGCAATTTCTTGTATTTTTTTTTTAGATTTGGGAGTTAAGTGAGGTGAGTGATTATTTTATTTTATTTTACTTTAATTTTTTAAAAAGTACTCCGTAATTTAATATTAGGGGATACTTTTTTATACAACACTGGAATAGTATATTTGAAGCACCCTATGTTTAAGAACGAAGAGAAAACATGAAAATTTCCTATTATGACCAATCACAGTCACAATAATTATCTTCACCTAACAATGAAGAGGAAGAAGGATATATTGACATAAAAGCTTATTCTATTATGGCTCAGAAAATTGACATTTTTCTAAGTTTCTTATTATATAAAGTGTAGATGTTACATTTAACATGGTTTATCAGCTATCTTTGCCAAGTACGATTGTTAAACTCCTGTGCATGCGCAGATTTGGATGTTAAGACTGTAATGGACGAAGCCAAAACGAGATGGCTCCGTCCAAATGAGATTCATGCTTTCCTCTGTAACTACAAGTATTTCACAGTCCATGTCAGGCCTGTGAACCTCCCAAAAGGTAATCTTTTCTGGCATGAAAAGTTCGTAGTGCCATTTATTTGCAATGTTTTCTCATTACATATGCATCTAATATCTATTTATATTATATAATAGGTGGTACAGTTATTTTGTTTGATCGTAAGAAGCTCAGAAACTTTCGAAAAGATGGTCATAATTGGAAGAAGAAAAAAGACGGGAAAACTGTCAAAGAAGCTCACGAGCATTTAAAAGTGAGGTTTATCTGTTCTTTAATAATGTGCTATATTTGTCTTATTTGTTTACCTGTCTTCCTTAACTCCAGGAGAAATTAAAAGGAAAACAAAACGAATGAAGCTTGTTTGATTTTTTATCTTGCTGATGAATCTTGTTACTATTGCAGGTTGGTAATGAAGAAAGAATTCATGTATACTATGCACATGGAGAAGATAACCCAACATTTGTTCGCAGATGTTACTGGCTGCTTGATAAGTATGACGGTTTGAGTTTGCATTGTATACTATTCTCATGATGAATTGACTTCTTTTTTTGCTTTCTTTTCCACTCAAAGTTATCTACATTTGAGATTTACACAAAATAACATGCATTTTGAATTTGTTTTCTGTGAATTTATGCTTGTAACAGAACACTGGAGCACATAGTCCTTGTTCACTATCGCGAAACACAAGAGGTTTGTTTCTTATGCCTTGCATGTAGACATGCATAAGCACATATATATGTTAGTGGTATTATAGGTGCTCTGGTCATATTACTATCTATTCCTTTGTTATTCTTCAAGTCTGCCAAACTAAAGAATATTGTTCCTAATGTATTTTTTAATCCTTTTCTAATGTTCACTATTTAATTTCCTATGAAATCCTAATGCTATTCCCTCTAATTTTATTCTATGAACCAAACATGCTGTTATGTTTCTGAAATTTATATGGATATTTTAACTGCTTTGTATATTATGGAAACTTTCCCTACTAGAGAAGTATGCAAGCTCCATGTTTCTGTAAAGAGGTTACTTATACCATCAAAATATATTGAGCAACTCCACCAAAATATTTTGTATGGTACATACCACTGAAATAATATATCCTTTCCATCCTCCTTCTCTCTTCAACAATTGGTTAAAATTGTACTAAAAACTATTGATATGTGCTTTTCCTTGTGGTGCCCCTCCTACTGTGAAGATATGTGCCTTGTATTTTTTTTTTTTTTTTTTCTAATATTTATTTTGTATTTTTTTTTAGAGCAGATTGAGAAGAATCTTTCTATCATGGTTCTTTAAGACATCTGTGGCACATTGTTGAGCCAAAATTATATAACATTACTTTAGACATGGAACAACACTGAACTAAATGATCCCTTCACTTTGTTATCATTGGGATGAATGATATCAATTAAATATGTGCTGTGCTGACTTATTGTGCAGGTGCAGAGCTCACCAGCCACCCCTAGTTCTGCCCTTTCTGATCTATCACCTCCTTGGGTTTTAACAGAAGGATCCGAGTCACCAATTGATTGTGCAAATTACAATAGGCCTCTAGCATCTTTAGGTATTGTTCATTGAACTCCATATTGGGGAATGCCAATGATTCTTTAACCTCAATTGCTTCAATAATTGATAAGCAATGAAGCTCATTTATCATGATAATTCTTTCAAGATAAAATTGGAGTATAAAATATTTCTTTTTTAAATAAGGGGAAAAAATGTTTATTTATTTATTTAAATTTTGGGCGCGTGGAGTTGAAGGTAAACAAGAATGATTCTATTTTTATGGATAAGGTTTGAATGGTTGAAACCTTGTTTGCCTTCAATTAGCTATATTAAAGTCATCTCATCTTACTAATTGGCAGAGCCTAATGACAATATGAGAATCCAAAATCATCGACAGACATTACATGCCATTAACACACTTGAATGGGATGAGCTTTTGGGACCTGATGATCCTAACAAGTCACGGTCAACTCAAGAAGGTAGTAAAGTGATTGTTTGTAGTTGCTATTACTGGTATGTTTCTGAATGGTTCTCTTTATTCTCCAATTTGTTTGGCTGGACTACTCAGTGGTAGCAAAGGCTTCAGTTGGGCAACAGCAACAATATGAAACAAATGGTTTCGGGCTCAATGTGAGTAGACACATTTCCTGATGGCTTCATAAATGTTACTCTTTTCAGTTATAAATGTTCTTCCTTCATCTCATGTTTCTCTTACCATATCTTCTTACATAATTGGCATGTGGATTTTTTGACAATGCCCGTGAATGTCTATACATATTTGTGTGTCTACAGAAAGTGTAAAGTAATAGTGTTCAGCTGTTTTGAGCTAAATCTCTATCTTTTAGTTGAAGCTAACCAATACATTTGTCAATATCTGCCATTTTATACTACAGAGTTTTTTTTTTTTTTTTTTTTTTTCCTTCTACAGAGTATGTTCATTTTCTATTATTGGTAGCTTGATGTGGCTACTGATGTCTACTTGCAGGGTGCCAATCTATCAGCTGACGAATTAGCAGTAGGATCTTTAGAGAATTTGCCTGGGCAAATGTCCATTAGCAATTCAATTAATTTCAACATTCCAAATGATGTGGTGCCTCAGACATTGAATGCTCAAATGACTTCATATTCTCAGAGGATTGATTTTGATAATCCAAGTAAGGATGGTCTCCAAAGTCAGGACAGTTTTGGAAAATGGATGAACTACATGATAGCTGCAGATTCTCCCGGATCTGTAGATGATCCATCACTTGAGCCTGCAACCGGTTATCAATCTTTCCCATCACCAAGTCTTGATAATAACTCATCTGCACAGGAGCACATATTCAACATAACAGATGTCTCACCTGCATGGGCTTTTTCAACTGAAGAAACAAAGGTTATTTTGCTTTATAGTACTCATGTTTTGCTAACTTGCTGCAATATCTATCAATCTATCATGCAAAGTATTCAATTTTCTTGAAAAGCTTTCTTGATTCTTTTCCCAACGTTTTATCTATCTCTTTTTACACAGATGTGAGCAATACCAATTATTTCCAATGTCATTTTACTGAACATAGAAAATGACCTAAATTTACTTCTCCGTACCTAACATTTTTTACTTCAATCTGGTCTTTAGACAAGAGTTACATCTATGTATTTCCAGTCATGAAACTTGATACTTGTGCATTCTCCACTTTTTGCTCTGTAAATTGCCAATGACCATTGTCTTTGCTACCAGACATTTGATTGTCTATTAATGATCTTACTCTGGAAAGAGAAAGCTCCCCCTACCTGGCCTCACACATGCCTGCATGAAAAAGAGTTGAATAATATCATTCCAACAGGAGAGAAGTAAAAGAGCATAAACCAATTAAAAGAGTAAAAGTACTCTTATGTGAGAAATTGTGTTTACCATGATTAGCCATCCTTTAAGACAGTGGTTTTTAGAAAGAGCAAAGGAAGTAATACGTCTCAATGTTGTTCATATCTATGTAATATTAAAAGTAAATAATGTCATACTGTGTCTAGGAACCATTCAACTTAATTTCTAGTTTTTCTACATATATGCATTCATATGCCGTAATTTCTTTTACTAATTGGTTATGACCACAATTAAAATTTACTACTTATCATTGCAGATATTAGTGATTGGGCATTTTCTTGGAGGACAGTCGCAACTAGCAATATCCAATCTTTTTTGCGTCTGTGGAGATGCTCGTGTACCTGCAGAGGTTATCCAATCTGGGGTATATCGATGTTTACTTTCACCTCAAACTCCTGGATTGGTTAACCTATATTTGAGTTTTGATGGATATAACCCCATCAGTCAAGTGATAACCTTTGAATTTCGAGCTCCTGAGATTCCCAAATCCACCAGTACCCCTTCAGTGGTTAAGCCTCACTGGGAAGAATTAAGAGCTCAAATGCGGCTTGCACACTTGCTCTTTGCTACACCTAAGAGCCTTAATATATTATCCAGTAAAATACCACAAGATGCCCAGAAAGGTGCTAAGATATTTGCTCATAAATGTTCTCACATTACCAGCAATTGGACACATTTAACCAAATCAATTGATAACAATCAACTCTCTTTCCCACAAGCAAAAGACCAATTGTTTGAGCTGTCTCTGCATACCAAGCTACAGGAGTGGCTGTTGGAAAGAATTCTTGAAGGGTGTAAAATCCCAGAGCGTGATGAGCAAGGTCAAAGCGTTATCCATTTGTGTGCTATTCTAGGTTACACATGGGCTATCTATCCATATAAATGGTCAGGCTTATCATTGGATTATAGAGACAAATTTGGATGGACTGCTCTTCATTGGGCTGCATATTATGGCAGGTACAGTATTACTCTTTGATTTTGAATCAATCAGTGATCAATGTGCTTATGATATTGGCTTTAGCATTGAATCGTCAAGATTGGGATTACTTTTATTTCTGTTATTCCTGACATTCTTGTTGATCATACTGAATTATGATGACAAATTACAGAATGTATTTTGGAATGCTAAATACATGTACTATTATTACACAATACCTATCCAAATGGTGAAATATTTGCTTGTAGGGAAAAAATGGTTGCAGTTCTTTTATCTGCTGGGGCAAAGCCATCTATGGTCACTGATCCCACTACTGGAAACCCTAGTGGATGTACTGCAGCTGATCTTGCATCCAAAAATGGCTATGAGGGTTTAGGAGCTTATCTTGCAGAAAAGGCTCTAGTTGCACAATTTAATGAAATGACTCTGGCTGGCAATGCTAGTGGTTCACTTCAGCCTGCATCTGATTCTGGTAACTATGGGAACACCGCTGAGGACATGGAATTGAAAGATACTCTGGCAGCTTATCGGACAGCTGCTGATGCTGCTGCACGTATACAGTCTGCATTCAGGGAACACTCCTTCAAATTGCGGAAGATGCAAGTTGAATCTTCAACTCCAGAGAGTGAAGCTCGCAGTATAATTGCAGCAATGAAGATCCAACATGCTTTTCGTAAATACGATACAAGAAAAAAGATAGATGCTGCTGCAAGAATCCAGTATAGGTTTCGAACTTGGAAGATACGGAAAGATTTTCTTAACATGCGCCGCCAGGCAACCAAAATTCAGGTAAGATCACTTTCTTTTGCTCTTGCTCCCTGGTATAAATAAAGCAAACTACTCTACTGTAAGTATGTGGATTGGATATTAACTGATAATGTTCTGACTAAGAAAATAAAATTTAATTGTTTGCAAGCTGAAATTGTTCTCAATTTTCTGCTTAAGCTATTCAACTCAATATGGCGGGGCGGAACCATCCTATCGATGAATTAGGATTTAGGAGTAATAATTTTGTAGGATTGATGGTTCCACTCTTTACCTCATTATGAGAGATGGATGGTTAACAAGATTTGCTTTTCTTTATGTGGTGATATTGGCAAGATTCATTGCTGTTTAGATTGCACCTGATTAAAGAAGTTACAGATTCCAAAATTCAATAGCTACTTATGTGAAAAGGCAAGATTTAAATGTATGTCCTCCATTGCAGTCTATCTTCCGTGGTTACCAAGTCCGGAGGCAGTACAGAAAGATTGTTTGGTCTGTTGGGGTGCTTGAAAAGGCAATCTTACGCTGGCGTTTGAAGAGAAAAGGGTTCCGTGGACTTCAGGTTGCAGAAACCACTGATACAACTGAAAACCAAAAACAAGACAACGATGTTGTCGATGAGGATTTCTTCCGAGCAAGCCGGAAGCAAGCGGAGGAGCGTGTTGAGAGGGCTGTTGTACGGGTCCAGGCCATGTTTCGTTCAAAGAAAGCACAGGAAGAATATAGAAGGATGAAGTTAGAACACAACACAGCATCTGTAAGCAACTTAATTACCCTTAACGTTTCGAAATTATTGGTCCAATACTTTTCATAAACTTATGATTGATCGCTGTTATGCAGCTGCAATACGAAGAGTTTCTTGATCCTACTGATACTTACATGGGATAAGAGTAACTTGTGCTGGAAAGGAAGCATGAGTGCAGGTTGGTTTACTATGAAGACCTTGTAAATTCATAGGCTTTCATATTTTTAATTAAAAAACAAGGGGACAGTACATAGTTGTAGATCGATCTTATTAGGTGCTTGGCTCCTCAATTATGTACTAGACTAGAAAATTTATCTACCCTTGTAAAAAGTAATGATTTTCTGGATAAAATGTTTGCAACTATCCTTGTACAAGTTGGTAAAACAAACGCTTGGTGTCTAGTGACTACATTACAAATTATCAAAGAGTAAATTGCATAGCCAACAATTGGTAACAGGTACTCAAACAATTGATATTAACCAGAAAATGCACCTTATTGGTTTCAGATTATATCACCCTAGGAAGATGTAACACACAAATTTTACTCTCTACAAACTTAACACCAACCCACAAATTTTACTCTCTACAAACTTAACACCAACCCACAAATTAAGTCTAAGATGATATTACAGAAAATTAAAAACCCTCACCATTTTCCTACTTGATGTACTGAGACATCCACCTAAAGCCCTCACCATATCCCATCTTCCGCACAATGCTGCACATGAAAACCTCGATTGGGCGGACATTTGAATCAGCGAGATTAACATTGCCCTTTCCAGTTGTGACACCGCTTAAGCCCAAGTAATATTGCAGCTCATCTTCTGAAGCTGCATATGGTATGTCAATCTTGTTCCCTAGAATAAGAAACGGGACATTTGCCAATGACTCGTCTGAGAGCAGTGCGTCCAGTTCCTTCTTCGACTCTGCAAATCTCTCTTTGTCATATGCATCAACAAGATACACAACAGAATCCACCTGTATGAGAGCAATTCATTAATTAAACTGGTCCCCATCAAACAAAAATAAGCTAAGAATTAATTAACTTTGCTAAGCAATTCACATCCAAGTATGTTTCTATGATTCTTCTAATAGAGCGTTGTGCTGCTCAAAGTCAAGTCATTATATGCAAGAATACACAACATCTAATATTCTAATCTTCCTTATACACTTTTCAACTTTGAGCTATTGAATGAAAAGAACATGTTAGTGAATGCCCCCAAAGAAATAAGAGTACTTTGCAAAAAGTTGCACAGAGCAATTAAAAGCATACATACAGCTTAAGAGATTTTGAAAATTGCTCTTGCAGACCCTAAGATCCAGGTTATTTACACTTAACTAAGCCTTCATACCAACCATTGTAGGTGTGTGTTAGCGAGGTTCTATTCTTCCACTCATTTCAATCAAATACACAAGCGGTTTAGCTAGACATACGTGTCTTGTGATAACTTAAACCCCAACCCCCTTTCTCTCCTCTTAAAAGTAATATCAATATCCAGAAACAAATAAACCATCATAATATAGACAAACATGAAACACAATTTTCCACACAAAAAACATAAGCACTCCCAATCAAGCTCATAATTCCAAACATCAAAATTGCAAATGCCCCATCCACGTGTAGAAGCAACAGTTATTCACCTTGGCATAATAATCTTTCCAGACTCTTCGAGCAATTTGATGGCCGCCCAAATCAAAAGCCTTGAACTTAATTTTCCCAATACTTAGCTCCTCTGACGTTGGGTATTGTGTTGGTTGATGCTGCACCAACCTCTGCAACAATTCAATTCGAAACAGCAAAATTAAACATCTTCGGCGAAATAGATCAAACACACTAAATAATACCAACAAGAAGGAAGATATGCCATTCAGGAAAAACATCACTCAATATTCTTTGTTCTTCACAATTTCCTATCCCACGCTAACAATATTCATTAGCAAATAATTACAATTTCCTTGTCGTTTGATACAGATAAAGAGTGGAATCTGACCTCGTCTTTCAACATATGAAGCAACGTCGTTTTGCCTGCATTATCAAGGCCCAAAAATAGGATCTTTGCCTCCTTCTGCCATAACCCTAGCGACGCCAATATTCCATAAAACCAATCCAATAGAAACATCTCTCTGCTTTTAGCAAACAAACTCACCGGCAGAAATTCTGGAAGACTCCACCGGAAAACCAGACGGCAATTAGTCAGAGAAAAACGGCTGAGATGGAGAGAAAAGTTTGTACTCGGTGGAACATTGTATTTTAATTTTGGTGATTTATATACAACGGCGAAGGCTTGACCGGGTTACTGGTCTAACCGGGAAAAAAATAACACTTTGCCCCCTCCCCAAGTCACTAAATATTTACATTTCACCCCCTCTAACTCATTTTGTATACACTTAACCCCCAAAGGCGACGGCTAATAGGATGACTGATGACTAGGAGTGATCAGTTACCTCGTGGCAAGCACACATTGGGTGGTGCGCGTCATCAGGTGACCTGTGGTCGCTTCTTTCTGTGGGAATATGTTTGTGTACTCCCCAAACATCACAAGCAAAAGGAAAATTCTCCTCTTTTCTCCGACAAAATATTTTCTCAAATTATACCCACCGAAATTTGAACTTATGACCATCTATTTAAATTGAGATGTTATCACATTATATTTATTGGCTTATATATACTATATTAGAAATACTATTAAATCATATTAATAGTCGAACTAGACACATAAAATTTAAAGGTTGAAGTAATAAAATTTAGATCTGAGATGAACTTCTTGTGTACAAAAATATATAATTTGATATTATGTGTCGAAATTAAATTAACTCAAAAATTTTTTTTTTGTGACTACAATCTATATTATAAACCTATCGTGTAATATAGCAACATTCTTGATGGGATAAGATTCGAACCTATGACATTTGGTTAGTGTAAAATTTTGAAGTTAAACTTAACCTAAGCGATAATGACTTAGAGTCGGACCATACGAGCCCAAAGATAAGAATAAGCAGATCCATTAAGTATCAACAAATACGAAGTGGACCGCATGGAACTAGCCCGTTCAAGGCCCAAATTAGGCTAGGGTTCCAATTTAAAACGCAGAAAACGGGAGATTAGTCTTCCTTCAAATCGCTGCAACTGTTGGAACCCTAGCAATCGACTCTAGGTAAGTTTTTCTTCCTTCAATTTCCCCCTTTCGCTCTCTCTCTATCTCCTTATACAATAACGTTGAAGTTTCGATTAATCGTAGTTGCTCTTTGTGAACAGAAGCAGAAATGGCGAAGTCGAAGAACCACACAGCTCACAACCAGTCCTACAAGGCCCACAAAAATGGCATCAAGAAGCCCAGAAAGCACCGCCATACCTCCACCAAAGGGGTCGGTTTTATCCCTCTTCCACTCCCGTGCAATTTTGCATTATGACATATTAACTGTGCATTTTCATCATATTTGATCTTTGATTATTTTCTGCTTTCTGGATCATTTTTATATATTATTTGTCTTAGATTAATAATTATTTTGATTAAAAATGGTTTTTTTGTTGGTTATATGCAGATGGATCCCAAGTTCTTGAGGAACCAGAGGTATGCCAGAAAGCACAACAACAAGAGTGGAGAGGGCTCCGCTGATGAGGAGTAGATAACACTAAGTCTCCAAGAATAGCATAATGTTATATGAGATTGTTTCTTAGAATTATTAGAGAAGGAAGGCTGGCAAATTGTTATACACCACTTTTTGAACTAAGTTTTCAATGTCGTTCGTGTTATCATTATGTATGAGGTACTTGATTTATATTTTTGACAATATGGCTTGAAAAATTGTTTCTTTTCTGTTACCGTGTTTTGTTTATTGTTAAATTTTGAAGCATCTTACTGCCTTCCAATATAGTTATGATAGGTTATGTTATATTATTCGTCTTCCTCCAATAGTACAAAAGGCTGCTTTTTTGTACATGTAGTATGTTAGAAGGGGCTGTATTCTTTGTCATTAGCATTATTATCTAATTGTCTTGAGGTGTTGTAGCCCATATAATGCTTTATAGTTTTCATTTATAATCTATATTGTGAAACAAGTTGTTGCTTATTGTAACAATCAAATTCAAGGATACTATTGGAAATTATACAACAAGACACAAAGACTTTTTGTCCTGCAAGTATTGCCTTCTTCAGTAGTTATGAATTATGATATCGGTTTAATGGTGCTGATCTAATATTTACTGTGCTATCACTGCTATGATGATTGTATTTTGGTTATGGGATGAATTAACAGTTTGCTTATTTATGTATTGAGTGGGCAGTTCTGGTTATCGTATGACTCTTTGTGTTGTAATTGGTATTAGTCTATTTGCATAATGACTATTTCCATATTAAGCAATTCAGAGTGTATTATGTAATTCCAGACAGACAGATCTTAACTTCCAAAATATTTCATGATCTTCTTTCACCATCTTCCAAAATGCATTGTGATTCGATTTTAGGATTTTTGTGTATTATCTATGATGACATGTTTTCCTTACTGTTTTTGTGTTTGTTATACACAATTTGGACCGATGTGAGTTAATTTTTTAGGGATTGAATGCCCTTTGCAGCTTCATCTGAAATGTGTAATCCATCAGTTCTGATATAAGTTATTAATCCTGTTGCCTTCCCATCAGACAACTGGACCACCTATATACAACTTTTTTGCTAGCCTCATTGTATAAGTTGATGTGAAACCCAGTCTGTTAGCAGCATCTTGCTGGAATGTTGATGTTATATATGGAGGAGGTGGGTTTTTCTGCCTTTTGGATCTCTTAGAACTAAGAACTTCAAACATGATGAATTGATATTCTGTTCAATGCCCTTTGCCTCTGTGTTGGAACGAATTGAAAACTGATTTAGCTTTTGAGAATCAAAATGTGTCAGTGTGATGAGAAATAGACATTGTTGCATATCATACCCACTTAATGCAACTTTGATAGCAATAAGGTGGGGTGGGTCCATGTAGCTGGAGGAACTTCCCACACCATACTGAACTCATCATCGGGTTGAACGGGATTCTGGCCTGGCAGCCAAGTCCTTGATATGGCCATAACTGGCTTGACAATGTTTTTTGAACCTGAGGCTTGGTTTTGTTCTCCATGTTTAAACTTTGGTTTTGTTGCAAGTTAGTAGTTGATGGAAAATTCAATAGACCATAGTCTTGCAAGGTGGACCCTGGTCTGTTATAATAAACTGGTTTAACGGTTTACAAATCAGGCCATGAATGAAGTTCATTAATCGGCTTTTAACAATTTTAAAGGAAGCCCACGTCATTTAACTTGCCAACCTTATTACGTGAACTCGAATTTGAAATACACAATTTATATATTGAACGTTTACAATTTACATACTAAATATTTATAATTTATATACAGAATGTTCACAATTTTATATCCTAGATTAGATGTTCACAATTTGAATTGTGAATATTCAATATGTAAATTGGGTATTTTGATGATTCGGATTCATGACATACCTATTGAGAGGAGATTATAATTAACATATAAAGGTCCAGGATGTTGGGCCACGTTGGGGTTGGAAACTCGGAATTTATCATCCTCCTCTTCCTCAAACGCCACGAAGCTCCAAAGGCGGTTGCTTCAATGACTAACACGTACTCCAGCCATTCCCTCCACGTGTCCTCCACCGCTGAACAGAACACCTCTTCTTCCCATTTCACTCAGCTGGGCTCTTATTCATTGACGCTGCTGTTTTGTTGAGGTAAAGTCGAGTTGTTTGCGGTGTTTTATCCAAGGGGCCGGGCCGGTGTGAAGAATGAGTGCGACTAATTTGGAGGTTCGCTGTACATTGGGGGATGAAATCCGGAGCTTGGATCATGGGTATGGTGGACTTTTTGATCTGGGTCATCCTCTCCTTAACCGTATTGCTGATAGTTTCGTCAAAGCTGCAGGGGTACGTGGGTAATCGTTAGTTATTACTTTCTGTTTCATCCATAACCAGCCATCCAGTATTCTAAGTAAAGTACCCATTAGACTAGACAGAGACTAGCTGCTAGTTCTTTGACGCCGGCCTGGTTCAACAAACAACTTTCTTGTTTTGTTACCTTAGTTGTATCTGTTGTGTAATGTAATGTATACGTGGTAATTAATTCGATCTGATCTTGCGGCGTGATAGATTGGTGCTGTTCAAGCCGTAGCTCGTGAGGCTTACTTCACGGCTGTTGAAGGTGAGACGTGCAAATTTGTATCTATTTAGTTTTCGCTTTCAATTCGTTTGTGTTATGTTAGTTGGGGTGGTTTTGGAGTTTGATGCATGCAAGGAGAGCTTTGAAGTAACTAAATTTGTATGAATCAGGTGCAAGTCGAGATACCCCGCCGGAGATTGGTGGTGCTAAGAATCATCATGCATTTCCGTCAGTCCTTAAAGGTAGGCTACGTCTTTTATGAGTTGTACACTGTACACCACATGCAATGGATATATAACCTTATGCAACAACCCAGTAGGTAGATGATATGATGATACTTATTAGAGATGGATCGGATACTGGTAAATACAGTACGTCATTAACTTTATTTTGTGTTTGCATCAATCATTCATCTCAGGTCATTCCTGAAAAAATTCACTCAAGAATAATATGTGAAGTGCTTCATGCTGTCGGATGTTACCCTAATATTTTATTTATTTATTTATTTTTTTTTTTTTTGTTATAATGCACAGGGGGAAACAACAAAAGCTCCGTGGAGGCCTTGGTGAGCTGTTCTCCTTTCTGTGCCATTATATTGTTGTATTCATTTAGTCTCCTCTCTTTTTTTCTCCATTTGAGAGGAGATGTGTTAGCTAATAAATGTGAGGATTTTTGTTATATGTATAATCAATTAATATGTAATTGATTCTTGTTTATATAGCTCAACATGTGTAGATTGATAATAGTTTGTGTACACTGGAGACAGTTAACAAGCAATTTACTACAAGACAGGAGAAAGATTAATGTTCTTTTTTTCAATATTTGCAGATAAAAAACACTGGAAAAGAATCTATGCAATGGGGTAAGGCTATTGCATTCCCCCCAACCCTCTCTTCGTTCCACTCTCTAAAAATTGACTCGACTTTGTTTGATGGGCGGGCAGCTGCAATTATATATATTGAAATGGTTTAGTTGTGAACTATTTAAGGAAAGGAGTCCTTTAGCCGCTTGGTCTTAACAAGTAGCGTGGCTTCTTAGATAACATTTTTTTTTATGATGATCACACAAGAGATAGCTAACCATCTAACATCCTTGAGGGTAGAGTGGATAAAATGTCTTCTGGTTGTGCAGGGTTTGCTGCAGGTGTGTATTCTGGTCTTACCTATGGGCTAAGAGAGGCTCGAGGAGTTCATGATTGGGTACACTTTCCTATCTCTGTTTACTCATACACTTTCAGATTTGATATTGATAATAATATGTTGATCATAGTTGTCTGTCTAGCTAGCTGCTAAGATATGCAATCTGTTTGGCAATTCAAAAATGCATTCTCTTTTGTTGTCAGAGAAATAGCGCTTTGGCTGGAGCCATCACTGGAGCAGCATTGGCTATGACCACAAAAGATCATTCTCATGATCACGTGATCCAGTGTGCTATAACTGGAGCAGCTATCTCCACAGCAGCAAATCTCCTCACCGGAATATTTTAAGGCTCTTTACCTATTTAGGCTGTGTGTTCTGCCAGGATGATTCATCATTTTGGCTGTGTTTCTTTGCTCGGCATTTGTGGCTCTAGTTGTCGAGGCAAATTTGTCTTTAGATTTTGAACTTTTTCAAGCTAGACATTCTTATAACTTATAGGAGCTCTTATTGCAATATAAACTTGTGTTATTACTTGTTGCATTTTGGTTATTGCACTGAAGTAAAGTTTATATAGCTAGCTTACTACTTGCTAGTTATTTCTGCTCTTAATTTGTATGAACAAGCAGCTTCAAATCTGAGTATCTATCAGCGACATGCTAGCCCAGGAGCTAGGAGTAGTATAAAAGGCAAGGGGTGGGTCGTTTAGATTATCATCAGCTCTTCTTCTCTTTTAACTTCTCCCTTAGTCAAGTTCTTCTTTTTCTTTTCCCTTTAGTTTACGACGCACTAGCAGTCGGTTGTTTTGGCGGGCGGGCGGTTAATTAGTAGTGGTAGTCGGCAAATTATACCATGGACTAGGGTTTACCTTGCATTGTAGATTCTGATTTAAAAATAACAGAAGTTACTCCGTATTTGTTAATTGTAACTACAAAATGTGTTAACTGAAGATATAGAATTTTTGTATACTTCGTATTTGTTTACATGTATAAAAATTGTTAATTGTAATTACAGAATGTATTAATTGAAGATATAGAATTTTTGTATCAGAGTTCATAATGCAATATAAATCCTGTTTTGGTATAACAATTGAGTGGTAGTCCATCTTTGTGGTTGGTTGGGCTTGGTAGTTGGCTTATGGAGTAACCAAGCACAGTTATAATATAATTGATTTATCCAAATTAAATGCGAAATAAAATAGAAACAAACGTCTTTGAAATCCTGGAATTCTTGCAAACAAGCATACTGCATAAGGTTTAAATGTAGGATGAAGACCTGCGAAAATACATTTATTTCTAAGGCATTATCCAACATACGCTGAATCTTCTCTCTGCTTCACTGCCTGCTCAGCGCCTTCTACTCTGCCTCCTGCTGCTCTTCTTTCTGCTAGAGCGATCTGATTCTGAATCTGAGGATGAATCAGAGGACTCAGATGTTGAGCTGTACCTCCGCTGTCTTCTTTTCCTCTGCTCCAGCTTCTTCTTCTTCTTCTTCCTCCTCTTCCTCCTCCTCTCTTCCTCTGAGTCAGTTGAAGAAGAATAACTTGTCTCACTCCCCCCAGAAGAAGAATTGGTACCTGCACCACTGTCAGATTCAAAAACAGAAGCCTCACTGTCGTCACTACCAGACTCATTATCTGATTTGTGCTTTCTCTTGCTCTTCTTCTTCACTTTTTCTTCCTTCTTCCCATCCTTCTCAATGTCTGGGTTCTCTAACTCATAAGAAATTGATACCTTCATTCTCAGTTTTGGGTTTTTCAGTTGCTGGGTACGAGATGGTCGTGAGATGTAAACTCTCTCATTCTTGCACTCGTATGTCCAGTGATCGGTCTGGAAACACTTTTGACATTGAGAAGCTGCACCCATTGAGGACATTGAAGTCTTAAGGTCTTTCCGCTCACCCAATCTCACCTGCTTCTCAGTACTCATCAAGTACATCTGCCTCTTTGCTTCTTTTCTTTCTTGCCATCGGCTTGGTCCTTCCTCCTTCTGCCCATATGCATTCACATTCCGAGCTGCAGCAGTAGCTGCACGTTCAGCTTGAGCACGACTAAGACCCTTTGCAGCTGATAATGCTGCTGCCTTAATTCTTTCTGCTGCATCCTGAGCACCACCATCTTCATTCTTAGAAGACATGTTTCTGCATTCAAAACCAATATTTAATCACCCATATTATAATATAATTCAAACCAATATCCAAATCACAAGTGAATTTAGTACAAAACATTTCTCAACACAAAGGTACAACTAACAAAATTAAAACGTGACTCCATAGCACAATGGAAGAGTATAGCATCATAATATTTAACAAAACACTCTTAAACCAACATCAAGCTCAGTAGATATCCACATATGTGTGAGCCTAAAAACAAAACCTAATTAGTACAAGTGCAGATGGTGATCTTAATATGTTTCACGGTTTAGGGACCCAATTTAAGAATACTAAAACTAGTGATAGTAAATAAAACCATAATATTTCAGAATAGTATCTCATCCATTGTTATCAACATGTTGGTTGGGAGGAATACTTTCATGCAAATGAGAGAGATAGATGTATATACAATAGTTATTCGTAATTATGCCAATAATACATTTAGGTGTCACTCATCCCTGTAAATCCCCTTGAAATCATGAGTCATGACCACCAACCAAGACCAGCACCCACCAAATACTAAAAGAGTAGGGCTAATTATTAATATATTGTTTTTAGTTTACATGTGAGAATCATTGTCTCACAGGAAAAGGACTTCTGGAATGTAGTCTCAGAAATTCACAACGCATAATTTATAAAGCCTATAACAAGTAAATTAAAATTAGCATGCAAATTTCTGGCTTCACAGCAAGGACCTCCCCTGGGCAGCAGGATTCAAGATTTCATGAACGAATATCTATAGAAGCTATGTTCGTAAATTTTAACACAGTATTCCATAGACATCTAAAGCTTCATGAGTAATTCTTAATGGAAATATTTCGGTTTTAATGCAATTTCATTGTTCCGCAGGGTCCTTCTTAGACAGTTACACTTCATTCGATTCCTAAATAACATCGTCAGGGGTGGATCCAATTTTTCTGAGTGGGGGCAAAGTTCAAATGAGTTCAAAAATGTCAATGACAAAATATCAGCTTCAAGTTTATCTAAATTAACTTGAATACGAGGTAGTGTGCTTGACACTTCGTAACTAGTTTGACTAGATAAATCCACAAAACTATATTTTCTTTTAAAGAATTTTTCCATAACTGAACCAAAAAAAAAAAAAAAAATCATATCATATCATTAATCAATTCTGCTACATTACAATTTACTCATTTGAAAATTTGGAATCAATAGCATACAACATACTGAAATAGTGGATTAATCATTAAACCTATAAACCATATGGATTATGCAGTACTTAATTTACAGACAATATACACAATATATACACAAAATACAGACAATATACACAGAATTTTTTTTTTTTTTAGCTGTATGTATATATACAGCATACTGTTACTGGAATAGTGGACTAATAATTAAATCAATAAATCATATGGATTGTGGAGTACTTAAATTACATACAATATACACAGAATACAGACAATATACACAAAATAATTTTTTTGGGGGCTGTATGTATATATACAGCAGAGTGGCAGACTGATACAGTGATACTGGAATAGTAGACTAATTATAAACCACTAAATCATACGGATTATGGAGTACTTAATTTACAGTAACTATACACATAAGAAAAAGTTGAAGATTGAAGATTTAGGGATTTATAATTTATGAAATTAGGGCAAACTAATTAAGACACTAAGCGTAGAGATTGGTTCTAACCTGAGAATTCGCAAGTTTTTGCCGACTTGACGGTCGCCGTAGACGGAATGCTGGACGGATGGACGACGGTGGAGCAACGGACCGAGATGAAGAGAGAATCTGGAGCCGCTGGCTGTGGCGCGTGGGTGCGGCCTCAGTGGGCAGTGGGCTGTGGCAGTGCCGGTGCGTAGAATCAACCAACGAGTGAGGCACGGAAGAGCCCTGGAAGTGAAGGTTGAAGCCTTGAAGATGATTGAAAATGGAAGTCTCGCAAGTCGCACAGAAGCCTGGAAAAACAAAAAGAAAAAACGGAAGAACAGAGAAATTAAAACAACACCAGAACGACGTCGTTCTTGACAGTATATAATATCAGCCTCTGTACAATGTACATCGTCCTGTTTAAATTCACACAATTGGTATAATCCACAGAAGTTGTGTGAACCATAGTTCAGGACCATACTTAATATAGTATAAAATAATATATATTTAAGTACAACAAAAATAATTCATACAACACTATGTGAACATGTCACACAATAATTTGTCAAATTCATATAGCATCCAATTGATAGTGTTATTCGAAAAAGAGAATGGTCGGAGATAATAAAATACATTACAGATACAAGAAACAAACAAAATGAACAAAACTAGGGTTCCAAAGGAGATAACCCTATTCGATGAGGGTTAAGAATGCACACCTTATGATATGTCTTGAATGTTAATTGGTTCTTTTCGTTATTTCCAACTTAATCAACTTGCTGTAATTTATGGTTTTAGGGTCTTGAATTGCAATTGTAATTGTGATTTTTTTTTTTTTTTGAGCAATAAACTATGATGTGCTAAGATGTTGTTTGAAACGGTAAGATTGTATTACAATTATTTATATTTATAAGGAAAAAATTATAAAAATCCCAATGCGACAATGTTTATAAAAATAAAAGTTTTTATAGTTTTTTTTTTTTAATTATATACATTTTTTTATTTATTTCCGTCAAATAAAACTTTTATAAATATTCTTTTTTCATATATGTATTTATTTATTAATAATTTTTATTTTTTTAATGGATTAGATTCACCATAAAACCAAGTTGATATCAAGTAATGAGTACGAAAAGTATATCCATTTATTTGTCATCTTTCTTCCAAAAGGCTGAACCCCAACCCTAAGGGCCCGACAGAGCGGTGGGAGGTTGTAAATCATGGTGACTCAACTGAACATTAATCACAGAGGCTAGACCGCGGCCCGACAGAGCGGTGGGAGGTTGTAAATCATGGTGACTCAACTGAACATTAATCACAGAGGCTAGACCGCGGCCCGACAGAGCGGTGGGAGGTTGTAAATCATGGTGACTCAACTGAACATTAATCACAGAGGCTAGACCGGTGCTCACTGCGCACAAGGAGCCCCCCCTCACTTTGAGAGGTTGCTCCCACACTGCCGCTGGTGAGACTCGATCCCTGGTCATTCTACCAAAGTTTCACTTTGAGAGTTTGTCATCTTTAAATTACAAGACTTTTAGTTTCAATAGGATATTTGAACTCATTGCTCGGATTTAACCAATTTATGTTATTCATAGTTGACCACTCAAATTAAGAAGGTTAATAGATAGCTCTTACAAGGAATCCATTCGCCTTGTGATATATAAAAAGATAAATCAATATAGACTATTCATAGCTAACTGCTTTCTCATAAGGAGTCGAAATGCCTTGTTATTCATATGGAAGTAACCCAGCATAGACTACCTCTGATTGCTCAAACTAAGAACGTCAATAGATAGCTATTGCGAAGAGTCAAACTGTATTGTGATCTTACTAGTAAAAAACCACAACAAATTTAGATTATCCATAATTAACCATTCAAATTAAAGAACGTCAATATATAGCTTTCACAAAGAGTGGAACTAGAGCCTTCCACGCTCAAATTCAATTAGTGAATCTGCATCTTACATCCTTAAAAAAGGAGTTACCTTGAGCAAATTATGTTGTGGAACTGTGTCTACTTTGTAAGGTGGACACGGTTCCAAAACTATTCATAATTATGAATATATAGTTCAAAAATTATGAACATATAGTTCTATAATTATAAACATAGAATTGTGAACATAATTATGAACATATAATTCTATAATTATAATAAATATAGAGATTCAATAATTGTGAATATGAAGTTCAAAAATTATGAATATATAGTTTTATAATTATAAATATATAGTTCAGTAATTATGAACATAGAGCTCTGTAATTGTGAATATAGAGTTCAATAATTATGAATATGAAGCTCAAAAATTATGAATATATAGCTTTATAATTATAAACATATAATACAGTAATTGCGAACGTAGAACCGTGTCCACAACCTAACGATGGGTTACCTTGTGGCCCGATCAAATAGTTTATTTTTCTGTTGGGCCATAATGATTTTTTTCCTAATCTGGCCCAATTGGAGAAGCCCGCTCAGTAGAAAGACCAGTGGAGTATGCCCAGTATACAGAAGCCAATATGCCCAATAGTCTTCCATCACCAATTCATCCTCCAAGTTCCGGTGCTCCCGCGTCCTAGCACCGAAGCTACCTAGGGTTTTCAGGAGAAGAAAGAGTGAGAACCAAACGCAATTCAGGAACAGGAATTTCTTTCCCTATCTCGAACAAAGACTTGCGAAAATGAGTACTATGAAGTTTTGCTGTGAATGGTTAGTTTTTCGAATTATTTCGTCTTTTTCTTCTGTAAGATGAGTGTTCACTTGACTATGTTGGTACAGCAACAACATTCTCTACCCAAAGGAAGACAAAGAGCAGAAGATCCTCCTCTATGCATGTCGCAATTGCGATCACCAGGTGTGGCTATGGTTGTGGACATGTCTATCTATATCCGAGTCTGTTTCTCTGTGTGTTAATGGTGAATAATATTCTTATGGTGGACGCACATTTAACTCGTACAAGACTAAACATTTATCCACCAATAGCTTAATTTTTCTCTAACTCTAAATTTCTTGCCATTTCTCTTTTAGTGTGTGTATAATCATGAACTTCCTAGAAGAGAGGCTTTTGTGAAGGTTGCAAACACTTTGACAATGCTGCTTTGTCTTGATCACATGAACATTGTTACTGATTATGAATAGTTTGTCAATGCCACTCCGTTTTATATTCTTCTGGCCTCTGGCTTTAGTCTTATTTATATTGTTTTGATATTACTAGCTCATTGCTAACTCTAGTTTCATTGTTATACTCGTGATTAATATTTGACAGGAGGCTGCTGATGACAACTGTGTCTATAGAAATGAGATACATCATTCTGTTGGTGAGCAAACACAAATCTTACACGATGTAACTGCAGATCCAACACTACCTCGGACAAAAGCTGTGCGTTGTGCTGCATGTGGTCATGGAGAGGCTGTATTTTTTCAGGTCCTTATTTCTGTAACCTGGATTATGCTTTGAGTGGTCAAACTTTGCTGCTACTCTTGCGTGTTACTTGTAGTTTAAATCTCCATGTGCTTTCCCTTGTTCTGATCAGGACTAGTCAGCTATTGTGGAATCTTAATCTTTTAGTTCTTCTGCCATATCTGCTTTCTTAGTTTCACTGCATTGTTGTTCTAATCCTCTGCCTAAATTAAGTAAAGAAAGAATTTGAATTTTTCCTGTGATTCAGCTATGTTTTTGCAACCACCTGTTTGCATAAAGGGGCTAATTTTGTGAAATTTTGCTTGTTTATGATGGTCAGGAAAATATCTTGGTCTCTCTTATCAATCAATTATATATTAGAGCTACTTTGAGATGTTGATTGGGAGCCTTTATTTAGGTGCTATGAGCTGCATTTGCATGCTCATATCTTATGTATGTTTCAAGGTGTGATGAAATAGTTATGTAATAAACTATTGTTGTTTTAATAATAATAATCTACTTGAATGTATGTGCAGGCAACTGCTAGGGGAGAAGAAGGAATGACACTGTTTTTTGTTTGCTGCAACCCAAACTGTGGCAACAGGTGGAGGGACTAAGATTACTTGTTAATGTGATTAACAACTTAGCTGGGGAATGCATTGGGCACTTCTATGATCTACTCTCTTTGTATAATGTATACCACTCTAAAGGTGGGAGACTTTGTAACATTGAGACCATCTTGTAAGAAAATACCCAGCTTCGTGTTTCGAGACAGTGGCACATTGCAGACTATAGACTGGAGAGTTTTAACTAGTGAGGAGTATATTGTTGTTATTCACCATTATATTATGCATTAGGAATGCCAAATGTTTATTAGCCAAATTAAATCATATCAATTTCCACGCAGAAACTGAAAAGAGGGGCGTTCTCTTCCACCCAATAATCAGAGACTTGCCGTCTTTGTCAAGCGTGCAATATTTCCCACAGGGAAAATTGTTGAACACCAAATTGGCTTGCAATATTGATGACATACTCATCTCCACCTCCTTCATCCCAAACCGTGCAAAAAATGCCCTCCATACATTCATACTTACATGTCGGATCATCCTCTCCTCCCCCTCTGCTGCCACAATGTTGCTTATACTGCGACTCAGGTGTTCACGTTCTACAAACGCTCTGATATATTCCTTGTGCTTCAGGAAATGCTCCAAGGAATCTAGGAATGCGCTGTAGAAAAAGAGGGACTCGGTGAAACGATTTACAAAAACTGGAGAGTTGAGGTTAGCTTCCACCTCTATTATGACCATCACGCGTGGACGGATGGTTCTCATCACTCTCATCAAGTGTTCCAGCCCGCCCTGTTTTGAAATCATTGTCATGAAGAAGAACTGTCCATACACTGCAACTGCTTCATCTTCCTCAACCTCAAAGCTCTGTTCATTCACTTCAAGAATGTCTTGGACCTTTACTATTTTAAATGAAAATGGGATCTTCAAAGAATCAGCGAAGCTTGTTAGCTGCTTACCTATCTCCTCGATCATTGGCCCCGACTTGATTACCAGAGCAGATATCCTGAGGTTCTCAATGAAAGATTCTGCATGGCGAGCTGCTGCGAGAGCTTGCATCAGAATCGTCCATTGCATCCCATGCCTGATCTCAAGGTCAATAATGTGGATCTTTTTTGCTTCTGGTACATGTTCTATCACTGCTTGGACACTGGCGACCTCGATCACTTGTAAGAAAGGAAAATTCTGATGAGTTGCAAGGATGCATTGTTTTGGGCTCATGTGTTTCTCTTTGAGATACTCAATCTGTTTCTTTCCGAAATTCTCTGGTGTCTTCTCTCCCGTCTGCCAATCAACTTTGTCGCGAAGAGCTTCAGAGAAATAGTATACTAATCTCTGCACAAGATTTCCATTCTTGGAACTCAGCTTGTCGCACATGCTGAGGAAATCTTTCGCGCTGTCAAACTTTTTCTGGCCAACTTTCTCAGCCGAAGCGAGGAGATGTAGAAGCAGTTCAACATCTTTATAATCTTCGCCATGAAGGCCCCAACATGAATTGGGAAATAGATTGTTTAGTTCACTGTCTCCATGGGAAGAGTTCTCAATGAACTTGTGTGCAGCCAACTGCAAAACCTCGTTAATCAACAACCTAGTACTGCTGCAGCAATTCACCTCTCTTGATTCATCATGATTGCTACTGCAGCTTGGTGCTGCATTCACCTTCTCCCCAGTTAATCTCCTGAACCGGTTCTGAAAGTTATTGAGAAGCTTCAGGGATGAAGGCCACGCGTTCTCAGCCCTCTTTCTCTTGGATTCAGAGAGCTCTTGATTCCCTGTAATCTGAGCAGAAGAAAATGGCTGACCTGATGAAGCCTCCTCATCAAAATACAGATCATCTAGACTCATGCAATCTACAACTGCGAGTTGCAGTTGGTGTTCATGCTTATGCCTGGGCACGAGAGGTGCTTCCTTTCTAGCTGTTTCGTCGCCATCTTGATCCAAAACTTGACAAGAAGAAAACCAGGCGATTTCAGGGGAATCTCCCCACTCCACAACCTCATTTGCAGGTGGTCTGCTTTTCACTGCTTTCATGTTGTCATCATTGTTTTCAACATCACCAAAAACATCAGATTTGTTTAAACCCAACATTTGAACTACTCTGTGCAATCTGTTCTTAATTCAAGTGAATTGAAGAATGCAGACTTCAGTTCTACTACTACAACATATATATAAGAGCATGCAAATTCAACTATTTATATATGATTGGTGTGAACATGGAACTTCGTACGTGCAAATTGGTTTGAAATATTTTACTGTAAATTCATGTTGTTTGACAATGACAATAGGGAATTAGGAAAAACATATTGACGCATTCAAACGCGTAATCATATGAAAAGATAGACAAGTTAAAATGGTTTTTATGTTAGGGCAGCTTTGATATCTCCGGGGTCGATATTATCTAGTTACAATGCTTTGTCACAGACTGAGGTTTCAATCACAGACCGTATCTCTGTCTGGTTTTTTCAACTAATTCTATAATAAGGTAGACCAACCTGAAGGGCCATTCACATAAACAATTTGCTGAATCAAATAACAAGTACAATGCAGATCAGATGCCCTTTCCCCTGCACAAGAAAGCTGTCTTCATGTAGGGACAATAATGGAGAAAAAACCAATGTGCTCAAACACGATACTAATAAGGTCATGCTTCACTGTTCATTTTTTCTGTGTTGTTTTTAACTGGGCAGAATTTCCAGACAGATAAGGACTTTACTGGAGTTCCTTTCCACTTTATAATCATGGACTTTCCGCTCATGTCCAAACTGCAATGGCTCCAGCTAGGATATCTCCGAATCAAGAAGCTTGCTTGGAACAAGGCGGAGTGGCTTAGTTCTTCTTCCTCGATGCCAAATCTGGCGAAAAATTGTCTCCAGAAATCAATCTTTTCATGGCGGTAGATCCTGTCTGCACCTTCGGTTGTGATGACGTTTCGAATCAACTCCCAGTGTATAACTTGTTCGGTTATTTTCCTGTATTGATGATCGCGATCCATGCATGTAGCGATACAATCAAGAGTTGCAGTGCAGTAAGATAGCAGATTGTAGAAACGAGCTAAGAAAGATGGAGTGTTTGTGTAGGCTTCAGCTTCAGCAACCACCATTACAGATGGATTGAAGGTTTGAATAAGTGCAATCAGAGTGTGTAATTGGTTAGGGCACACTAGCAGAGTTGAAAGACGATACTCAGCGTAAACTGCTACTACTTCGTCTGCTAATTCCAGCTCGAAAAGCTCTTTCCTCAGATCTTTAATGTCGCAGACGATTGCTTTGAATGAGAAGGGTAAGTTCATGGTCTCTGCAAAGGAGGACAACCACTTACCGGTCCTTTCAATCCTCCGCTTCGAGGTTCCGACGGCGGTTATCTTTAGCGACTCAATTGGAGGTTCAGATCTGTTAGCAAGATCTTGCATGATGATAGTCCAATGCGATCCGCTTCCAATTTCGAAATCAACCAAATGAACCTTTCTCGCGGATGCGATGTTGTCCAGAATGGCATGGACGCCTGTGAAATTGGTGACCTGGGAGAATGGGAGATCGTGCGCGCATGCAATTAGCGCAGGCTCCATACTCATCGCAGCCTCTTCAACATTCACTGGAATCTTTTCACTTTCTTCTGAAACTGTTTCAGTATCTCTATCCAGATCCATCCTCTCTTTAAGAGCCCTGGCGAAATAATAAACAATTCTTTGAACTGTGCTACCATTAGCAGAAGCAGACTGATCACAGAGGCCCAGCAACTTCCTCGCGCGATCAAATTGTTGATTGGCAACCATTTTGGCAGAAGCTTGAAGTAGCAGAGCAAGCTCCACATCTCCTTTAATGTCACCCAACAGATAAGAATGTTCAAAAACAATGGAATGAACACAGCAGTGCTCTAGTTTTGACCTAGCTATCTGCATGATCTCTTCCGTTGATGGAACTGAGGAGTTGCTCGGGGGCTTATCAATGCGTATCTTATTCAGCTTCTTCCCTCCGCCATGCATCGAATCACTCCAATATCTCTGAAGAATTTGCAACGATGATTCTGAAGGCTGTTCCCTCTTTGGTTCAGCAACAACAACAGAATCATCTTCAAGAGGTTGGTTATCTCTGTTCTTTCTTGTTTCAACACTCATGTTTCAGAAATGGTGTCAACTCATGCCATTGCCAGATTTAAGAGTAACATTAACAGATGTATATCTAGTAGACGACGTGAGTAAAAGGTTGTAGCAGAAGAATGAGACAGTAAGAGCAAAGACAAAACCACTATTGTTAGGCACGCTAACATAATAAAAACATTTGTCTGCTAACATAATAAAAAGATAGTGTAAAAAGAGATCAGACCACAACCAAAGTTTGGTTACAGAATCTAAGAACATTGGCCAGCTAACCATGGTTTAAGAAACATGGTATTGAATGAATGGAAAGAACCAAGACTGTAAGACAAGAAACTTGAGTTAATATCATACAGAGTTTAAGAAGTAAGGAACAAAAACATTGCCTTGGTTCATATAAACTACAAAATTGGTGGAAAAAGTTAAACAAGAAACGTTTTCTAAAGATTCCCAAATAACATGGTAATTGGTATTTCTCAAGGCTAAAAGTAGGTTGATAATAACAATATGTAAATGTTCATGGCATTGGAAACAAGCAAACAATTGAATGAGCCAAAATTAGAGAGCAATGCAATGCAGAATATTCACAAAAATGAACTTGTAAAAGAATACACACAAATTTGATAAAAATTGAGGTGATTGATTTTATATAATAAGATGAACATTTCATACAATTTGTATATAAAATGTGATGCCATTTATTATATAGGATCAATCAATACAAATTTTTATCAAATTTGTGTAAAATCAATGGCGACTCCCACTTTACACGTGCATTGCGCAACTGATCTAATAACCAATGTTTATATTAATTACAATATTAAGAGTGTTTACTACAATGTTGAAAGTAGTATTTCAACAAAGAAAATTTCATTGCTAATGGCAGTAACGTGGAGTATGTATACACACTTATCCCATACTCGTGCTCGCTGCTGTTGACTTCATCCGATGTCATGTAATACAAACAAGGGGCCGGGTTCATTCATACTTAACTGCGCGTGTAATTTCCCACGATACACTTTGATTGTCCATACTTCCATGACCCTTCACCAATGCCACTGTAAACTTTTCATTCTCAAGTGAAGAAGGATACATAATTTGCTCTTCCTGAAATGAACATCCAAGAAAATAAATATTAGCTTAGCACTCACAACTTTGATAAAAAGATATATTACACTACCTCTGGCAGTTCACAGAACTCATCTGGAGTTATTTGCAGTAACTCTGTGGCAGTGTGGCCAGTGCACCAGGTTAATAGTTTTGCGCTGCCATCAGCAATAGTAATTCTCAAATGGAAACTCCTAACCACTTCATCATTGCATATGCAGTGACAAAAGTTGCACTTTAGCTCTCCATTACAACCCTCATTAACAAAATGGCCACAAGGGGCATGTGACAATCTTGTACCAACATGACAATACTCAATTTGATCCAGCCAAACCCGACATACCTAAGATATAGCATATATAGGCACCGAATTAACAGGGATAAAAACAAATGTGAAAAAACATTGTAAAAGGAGTTTGCACGATGAGCTGTCTGAGAAATCACTGGACGTACATGTGTATGGGTCGCATGGGCTGATAGATCACAAAGGTTGGAGAACTTGTGAAGACATGATGAATTAAGCAGTGCGGGTAGGCAGCTAATATTGACAAAAGAAGCTCCAGGATCATTCTCAAACCATGACAGTTCAAGGCTGCCAAACCAGAGTAATTTAAAAAATGATCAGAGGATAATACCATAAATAAAAGTATAAAACCACTGCAAAATCAATAAATACAGATGGGCAACGTTTCCCTTATGTATAAATGGATATATTCTGTAGAGAAAGAGACACATTATATTACTACTACTACTACTATTTGCTCCCTTTTATAGTCATAGTACATTATACATATGTGAAATATACTCACATTTTCTGTTTGGTCATAGAACATGACAGACCAGAAATATAGACAGTGTGCCCCAGGCCAACTCTTCCTATTGACCTGAAATGAATAAGTGAAAAAAAAAATATGTAGGGCAGCACATCTGATTGTACAAGAAAGGAGGATATTGCAATTCTCTAGTTTGATAAAAATTCTACCTACCAAGGTCCTATAAAATGTAGCCTTGCCCAAACTGAACCTGTTGCATCTTCAATTTTCAGAGAAAATGTAGGGTCTCCTGTACTTTGGATGTCCACAACATCACCATAGAGGCTGATTCCCGTCATCTTGTCATGCAGATCTATAACAAATGACTGCAAGACTTTAAAAATGTAAGAGGTCAACAAAAAATTGTCCCCAATGGAATATCCAGATTATTTTGTCAGTTACTAACTTCACAAGTTTACTAATGCTAACCATTGAAAAGCAGTATTTTTCATGTCTATTACATATCACTAAACTGGACACTTCAAGGAAGGTAATGTTACCCGGAAAGGATAATTTCTGAAGTCAATGGACCCTTGAGAATCACACGGCAAGGACACTTGTGAAACTGGAAGCCCCTGGCCTGGATCTGGTGCAGTTAACAGCTTTGATCCTTGGCAACGGCTCTGTGTCAATGCTACACATACCTGAGAAGGCCTAAGAGTTCACTTCTTTTTCCCTCAAAAGTTGACATTTAAATGTTTTCTAACATAAATAATCCATGACATACTTGTTCCTTATGCTGAATAAGAGGGACAACATAGAGCTGTGTTCCACTGCCATATTCAAGGCAAAATTCTTCATTTGATTCGAGACCACTTTCAGCAGAACTTGCAATAAATGGTCTGTCCAGGGCAAGCATACTTCCCACACTGTTAAGGAATTAAATTACAACAGCGTTCTAGACAACACAAGGCGGTTGCAAAAAGAACGGAAATAGTATACCTAAAAAGATTAGCAAGCAGAACCTGTTCACCCCACAATAGAAATTTCAATCTGGCACCATCATTATCAACAAGAGTAATTTTTTTTCTCTGTAAACTACCAAATATGCCTTGAGCTTCCAGCGCCCCAATAGATTCTATCCTGTAAATGGTTGGTAGTAGTGGATATTAATAGAAGAAACTAACAAAAATGACTATATTGGAAAGTTGACTGGGTTAAATGATAAGTTCTGAACAACCAAAATACAGGGTTACATATATGTGAAGCAAGTATTCATAACGGTAATTCGGTAAAACACTAAAACCATAAAAGTCTTGGAACAATAATCAGTGATTGCATGGGCATCACTTCTAGCCAGACCTTGCATACAGTGAATAAGAGACCCCTTGAATAACATCATCAAAGCAAATGGAAGAGAAGGAATCAGAACAAAACTGTGCACCTAGCATCATTGCATCATCATCTTGATCCTGCATTTATGTTCAAAGCAGATTACTGGACCATTCTGTTCATACTTTATGTAAGGGCATAATGATGTGGATTTGCATTATGTTCAAAGTTTAGTACACAAAATTCCCATTGCAGGCCCAAAAAAAAATAGAGAGAGAGTTGGAAAGGAAATTACTTTTTGTGGACATCTAAAATCAACAGTACCTCATCTAAAAGTATAGCAAGATACTCTGTGGGCAACAGCCGTGCTCGACTCGAAAATCCTTTGGTAGTCCTAAGGCGGCATCCTGTGAGGAACACTTCCCGTCCTTTCTTCAGAATACCATTGCTAGGATCAGCTAAGTTGTAGAATCTGCTTTATAATGCATCTTAGAGATATGAATATGTGGATAGAAATATGCACAAGAACAAAATGTTTTTACAGCTAGGAAAAATGCCATATAGGTAAATCTTGACCCCTGCCTACCACCCCAACAAAACAAAAGAACAGAAAATATATATATAAGGGAAAAGAAAAAGAACACGAAAACATCATATGGAACCTTTATCATAAAGCATAAGCCATTCACTCATTCACCTTCGATGAAGATATAGATCAATTGTATTAGAGCTCCAAAAATCCCCCAGATGAAGCGTGCAGATGTTTGTTCCTGGAGGGAAGTTAGTATTATCAATAATAATTGCCATAAACATTGCATCTCAAGACAAAAATAAAAACTAAAGTATCACTATAGTTTGAAAGAGTGAGATGCACTGATGAATAGCTCTATGATACAGCAAGTGGAAACAATTTGGACATTCTAATAATCTCAATCTTTCACAGGCCAATATATGATTTGATTTATAAAAAATAAATAAATAAATAAAATAAATAAAATAAAAAAAATCAGTGCATAACATATATTTCAGGCTAAGAATAGTTAAAATAATGACATTCTGGGGAAATAACCAGAACTAAGAACCTAGCAACTTTAATCTGGGGAGTTCTTGATTTTAAAATCCAAAATAATTGATAAAACTTTTAAGCATGATTCAAGTTGCATGATAATCATTATGTTATGTGCACCTATGAGGCTGTGCTTTCTAAGTAAAGGGCACGAATAATTTGGGGTACTGCAGTTGACACTAAACAGCCTTCACCAATCATGCAAATTTTGAAACTTGGAATATATTTGACAACATATATTACACACGTTAAACTTAACTTCAGACTAAAGAGGCTCAAACTCTACCTGGAAGAATAACAACATCTATTATAACAGCTTCAATAACACCATTCAATGGCAAGAACTTCTTCTCATAAACAGAGTCTATTGTGACAGTGTTGGGTAGCTTTCCCCTCTTATTTTTCTTCTTCAACTGACTAATACACTCTGGCTGTTTCTTTGGAGCACCGCTTCTGTTCTGCTCATTCCAAGCCTGCATACCATCCCCAATTCAACAAAAATTATTACTAAAGTACTTCAACATTTATTTACTTAACACATGTTTACAATATAATGTTGATCGTTTTGAAAACAAACGTATTCAGTATGCATCAGTCTATAACATTCCAAGAGCATGAAAGTTGCAAAGAATATGGTATCAAGCAAATATTTATATACAACTCCGCTTTGTGTATAATGAAGTGAAGGAAAAGAGAGCGGTGAGGACCTGAGAGATATCAGAGAGGAGAATGGCAGAGGTGACGCCGCTGGAATAGGCAATGCACGTTTTGAGAATTCTGGAAGCGGTCCAGCTCCAACCCGGGCCCATTGATTCACCTCCGGCTTCATTTGCATCAGGGGATACAACTGATTTTGCGTAGGAGATGAATTGAAGAAATGGATCCTCTTCTTCTTCGTGCAGTTGCGGATCAACTTCCATGGCGGAGGGGTTGCTATCCATCACACAGCTGCGGATAACTATATCGGTGAGAGATTCAGAATTGGAGACAGTTTGAGTATGTGAGCGTACTGATTGATGAAATCTAAGCCCTACTCCTTCGTTACCCAACGGCGGGAATTGAATTGAGCTTTCAGATATCTGAGCGGGAATAATTTGTAACGGCGTCTGTTAATTGTAACGAGACAGATTTGGGCTTTGGGCAAAATTCAAAGCCCATTGAGTAAAGGTAAATTCATGGCCCAAGTGAACTGCATACACTGATCCAACAAATAAACTCCAATCCAACGACTTTTTTTTTTTTTTTTTTTTTTAACTAAATCCAAGTATCCAACGGCTATTTATGACCTCCTAAATATTTTAATAAAGCTTCTTTGAATTAGTTATTCCATTTGTAAGGAAATAACTCAATTTTTATAATAAAAATACTTACCCAATAAAATAAGTATATTTCCAAAAGTGCTATTTCATTTCAAATTTAATTCATGAAACAAATATGTAATATTTAAATTTTAAAGTACTCTTTATTTTGTATCTATGTATGATTTATGCATGGTAAATTAGTAGTGTAAATTAGACTCATGTAATGTTTAGCGTTATGATATATTATGAAATAGTGAATAAGAATTTTGATATCACTAATAAATGAGTATAAGATGACGAGAGATGAGAGTTAGATCGATTAATTATGGAGGTTGAAACGCTTTAATCCACCTACAATACCAAAGTTAATACAATTAGTTGTATGGAGTATACAATACTTTAGACATACAAATGACATACACACTAGATTCTATATATTTGTTCTAAAAATTATCATGATGACTTGTAGCAAGTGACTCTAACGTATCAAATTCTAATTAGTATACTTCAACCGCTACTTAAGTGACATTAGAGGCCTATCTGAGGGTTATTGCATGCTAGTGTGCCAGCACGGTAGCCCAAGGTCGACTTAGTATGTGCATTTCATGCAAATAGACATTGTTGTTAGGCTTCCCAACCATCTCTTTGTTGATTGGGTCTCCCAACATAGTAATTTCATGTCTTAATATTATGGGTCTATTATTTGAATTATTAAACTAGCTTGACTTCCCCCATAACCCCATATTGTCCTACATCCACCACTCTTACACATTTAGTTATGTGTGATCCTTGAAATTGTGTTATTGATTCAACAATTAGGGTGTGTTTGATTCATGTGTTTACACATTATGAACAAGAATCAAAATCATTGTTAGTGTTTGGTTGACACATTTTTAAAACACAACTATGTGATTTGATTACCCCTCTAAGTAAAAACATTATCCCTAGTTGAAACTCAGTATTATTCAATCTTATTGGTAATATGATTTTTAAAGTTTGGATTAATGTTTTTAGATTTTTTTTTTTCTATTGATGATTTTGATGTCATTATATTATGACTAATTGCCTTAATTTTTTGTTTTTGTATTTTTAAACTTGTATTCCCATTATATGGTCATATATAAATAACCAAACATCAACATTTGTAATCATTTCAATTCCACCATACTACCAAACATGCAAAATATATATTGTAACTAAAACACATTGTCATTATCAAGTATTTGATTATCATTCCGATTTTGTGCGAAGCAAATACATTCTAGATTAGTGAATGAGAAGGCAAACATAATTATTCATAAATATGTCAAAAATTAAATGTTTTTCTCTTATTAAATGTTTTGGGTTAACACTCCATAAATATTGCCATGCGGAGAAGTGTACTGCTATAAATAGTCTTTGTGGTCCATCATCTATATATTAACCATGCAACCTTGCACACGTGAGGAAGTGCTGCACGAATACTCTTTTTGTCATCATTACGTTAATTTGTTATAATAGAATGAAACATATATGTAACTACTTCAATTCATTTAAAATGTATACGAAAATTATTACTTGATTTAGCAATAAAATATTCCAAATGATTGGTTAGAGAAGATTTATGTAAAATACAATATCTACATTTCATTAAGTATATAATGCACATATATATATTAAAGAACGTTAGTTTGTGCACAAATAATACGTATGTTGTCAAAGTTTTTATATTATAATGTTTGTGTTGTGATTGTAGAATTTTGTAAGATAAATAAAAGATTTTAAAAGAATACATAAATTATTACCAAGTTACTCAGCTCTCACATAATTAGTTACTACTAATGAGTCGTCTTAAGTCATTTAGATGGTCATCAAAACACATACATACAATCCTAAATGCAACATATTATATTGCTGGTAGTTATATATTATTTGTTTCTCTATGCACATTTTATAATTTTGATTTCTCATAATTAACTTCGTTGTGGTACGTAATGGAGCAAAATTTAACAATCCAATCTCCAAAACAATATATACATCGTAATTTAAGAGTAATAAGTAATACGGAGTATCATTTAAAGTGGTCAGATTTGAGTAAAGCTTTGTGTACTCTCTCGTAAATTAAATTACTACTTAACGTATTGCTCACCGAAAATAAGTTTAGGAATTAATGGGCCAATGCAATAAGGCCAAGTCCTATTTATATATTTTTCAAATTCATTTCATTCTCTCCGTCATCACTCTTTCGGTCTCAGCCTCACAGTGTCACAGACTCACAGGTGCGCTTGGTTCTAAGCTGGAAGCTTTATTTTCCCTCGTGCACGGCTCACCCTCCGGTAGTCGACGGTCCCTGTCATCGGAGGAGGAAGGGAACCGAGGTACTCCTTCGCTACCAGCAGTACTTTTTCCTTACCATCGCTGAGCCGTTATTTTCTCTTCTTTTTGCCCCCTTTTTGCACATTTTGTCTTCAATGGGTTATGGCATTGTTCATGTATAATTCTGGTGTTTTTTTTTTTCTCATTAATATACCGGATTTCTGATTCGTTTAACTGATTATCTGCGTTTCTCTTTGAATTACGTGACTGTGTTGTAAATCGTGTGCTTAATGGTTTGCTGCTATATAATGTAGAGTCATAAAAATGAGATTTTTAGGGTCCCTGTTTTTGTTGTAAGAGTCATATCTTTGGATTCTGTAAATCCATTTGTTTTTAGGGGCTATGTTCAATACTGTTGCTCTAGAATCTTCTTCTGTAAATTTTGACTTGCCAAATGTGGATCACGCGTCAAACACGTAGGTTGGAAATGGCTCTACCGGAGGATTTCAATCCTATATGGAGGTCAGTGTTAAAGTGTGTTGCAAGAATGTGTTTACCTTTTTTATCTCTTGTGATCAGGATCTTTAAAGGTGATAGTGGAGTCCATATTTTTCGAACTTCATCCCAGTCTCTGTTTTCATCCTACAAGTCTTCATACAGTTACATTTTAATGCTAAACTTCAGATTTGTCTCTGTTTCTGTCAACCAAGAAAATATTCAATAATCAAAGAGAGTGATTGAGGAAACCAAATTATGGTCATATGATTCTGATACTCAGATACTGATCCAAAACTAAATGATCCAACAGTTTTTAAAACTGTACAGCATGGTGATTATTATGCTGAAAAAGATTGCCGTTTGAAACAATCTCAGCCTTATTTATTGCTTGCATAATTATGATGAATTTGGTTGGGTGGTTAGGTTGACATTTAGACTAATGGATTTATTATATCAAAATCTTGATGGATGAGTAATATTGTGATCCATGGGTAGCTAGGTACTCTCGTAAAGTCGTAATTCCTAATTAATCTCTCAACTCCCCAAAAGGGGAGTGACTAAGCTTTAGTTTCCCAGTTGACTTTAGCTGTAAAGAAACATAGAAATAAAGATGCAGAATAAATGACTTATGGCTTCTTGCAATAAATAGCTGTCTTTCTTTTCATCCACTGCCTTCAATCTGTGTATAGGATTTCAATGATCCAGGCTGTTATTGTTAAGACTGTATGTAAACTGATGGTTGTGGTCCTTTGTTCTTTTTCTTTCTTCCTTCTCTATCCTCTCAAGTTTTACACAAATCTTCTTTCACTTACTGGTCTTGTTTTACTGTAGCAGGTTGCTAAGAAGCCAAAGTTAAACTTGGGTAATTACTTTCTGTGTCATTCTTGACTCAAAACTCTATCATGAGCTGGCTTCGTGCCCTCTTCTTCTGTTTCTCTTTGCTTACCATCCTTGCAGTCTTTGATTTTGGACTTCAATGGAGCAAAACAGGTACGGGCATTAACAATGTTACTAATATCTCAATCTCTTTATAGATTCTCAAACCCATTGTGACTATTCTTTTGCAGGCTGGGTTTTGCATAAAGCTCATGGAGATAGAAATGTAACTACGAATATGATACTGCAGAAGACATATTTAAGCCATAGAAAAATTCTGGCACACGGTAAAATTCTATGTTAACCGTGCATTGTCTCCTTAGTAACTATTCCTTGTATGTTTGTCAAAACTTTCACAGTAAATGGGAGAATTGTGTTGTGTTCGATATGCTGTAAGGGTTCGATCCTTTCCTAAAATAGATTATTATATTGAAACTCTTCAGGAGGCTGTACAAACAAGGATATAAGCATTTCGCAGAGCACATATTCCACGACTGGGATTCCACAATATGTAGTTGAGATAGTGAACACCTGCTTTTCTGGTTGTGCCCCATCCAACATCCACCTCCACTGTGACTGGTTTGCCTCTGCCAGAATAGTGAACCCAAATACTTTTAAGAGGCTGTCTTACGATGACTGCCTGGTTAATGAAGGAAAGCCTTTGAAGGCCAGCCAGATGATCCAGTTCACCTACTCAAACACATTTATGTACCCTATGGCCTTCAAGTCTGCCAAATTTTGCTGAATACATGGTTAGTATTACTCCATGCTTGAATTGAATCACTGTGGGTGGGTGGTGTTCGGAGTTAAACCAAGAATTTGGGTTTTAAAAGTTGCAAAATATACACAACTTCATTTTTGACCTTTTGGTGTTTAGCCCTGTGACTTTGAGGCTATTATCTGTCAAAGCCACAATAAAAGAAAAAGCACCTTCAGTCTTCAGAGGCAGAGGAACACTTCCCAAAGGCCCTTTTTACAAACCTAGCTTCAAAAGTTTATCTGGATGCATGCTACCTTTTTGCTGATGTATCTACCTGTGAATGCCTTATAGCTTAAGTGGACTTCCTATATCTCTGGATTAATATGGAATTTTGGGGTCAAAATATGTTATATAGAGTACTTGCTACATGGTGCAATGTCGTAAGTGTTTGTTTTAATTTGTAAATTCTGCAAGTGTTGTCACTTCTCTGTGTATATCTACTTTGCTTTTTTCCTGCTGTGAGAAAAGAAAGAATTAGAAAACAGAAACTCTTTTTGCCTTTTCGACATTTTTTTTTTTTTTTTTTTTCATAAACCTTATAAAAACTGTTCAAAATAATTAATTTGTTAGTAAAATCCAAAGAAAGACGTAGTTTTCTAGGAATGTGTTAGTCTTACCTATCGTTTTCGGGAAGCATAGAGTGGGGATCCCCACAAGTTGCTATTTATGGTGATGCTTTACAAATCTGTAAAAAGGCATTTGGTTTGGTCTAATTCTCCCATAGCTCCTGCAAGGCTTCAATCTTCGTGTTCGCACGTGAGGCAGCTTTCCTTATAGACTCTTGGATAAAAGAGTGGTCCCATCACCTCTAAATCTCCCTTTCATACATCTTTAAAAAAATCATAAATTTTTTACCACTCCAAAAATAAAATAGAAACATAGGTATAAATTTCTTTCCTTCTACAATCGGTTTTAATTTGTATGATCTCAACAATAAATGAAAAAAAAATAAATAAAATTGTGTGGTCTCGAACCTGCGATCCAATTCTAATGCACTGACGTTGGAAGTGCAACAAATCAAAATCCCCTCCAAAAAAGCGAATATTTCCTTTTTACCTAAAAAAAGAAAGTTTTGGTAAGAAGAGTAACATTCCTCTGGAAGTGGGAACGAGGAACAGCAGCATACCCTACACGCCCAATTCCAATTTTCGTTGGCTGAAAAGGTAGAGAGTGCAGAGACAGAGGGGTTGTCGGCAAATGTGGGCTGTTAAAGTAGTCTTTGACATTAAGGAAAAGCTTCCGACCTGGTGTGTTTGCAATAAATGGCGTCCGGCCATCTCTGTTATCGTCTTCAAATTAAACAAAGAAGCAGGCACGGGTTACACCATTTCACGTAACTGAATATCTGATGCGCTTCTGCTCTGCTCCTCTGCTCATTTCCTCTTTTTTGTCTCCTCGCCATTCCCTTTCCTTCAATTCTCTCTCCCCGTACTCTTTTATAGCTTTCTTGTTGACTGCCCTGTTTTAACCCATTCCATCCTAATTGGCCCATAAAATAAAGGGGGGTGGTTTGAGAGAACTCAAATGTAAAAACTATCCAAAATTGACACTTCTAATAACGTAACGCTCGGTAATTGGTAATGGAATTAGTTACACAATTAATTTGATAATCATAATGTTTTAGTTTAATTTTTCATAAGAACTATTTAAGACCTTATAATGACTAGACTGAGAGGACTTTGTGTTATGAGAATATAATAGATAGATATTATAAGTGAAATGATGATAAAGTTATAATTTGGTTTAGTGATGCACTTCATTTTAACTCATTTTGCATGAATGTTAAGACAATTGATATGAAAGTCGCTCCTAATTGAAGTGTTTTTTATTGTAAGTAATGAAGATTGGACAAATGCATGGACTAGCGAGGAAAGAGACAATTTTCAAGTGAAAATGAGTCAAGACAGTGCAAAGCCAGGGCACAATGGTACAGAGCAATACACAAAGTGGAAGTAGGAGAAGGCCAAATGCTCACGATCACAATTTCAACTATGACTACAACCGTGATCAGCAAGGATGGCTTGCTAATCCCCAGGCTCCGGCTGACACTTACAACCGTGAGCGTTAATGGGAGGCCGGGAATCAATTGGCTAAGCATAGATCTCACGGCCGGGAGGTTCACCATGATGTACTAAACTATCTTGTAGAAATTTGAGACCCACACTGATGCTCTCGGTCGAAACCACCCGTGTGACTTTAAGTATCTTCAAGGTTTCCTTAGAGGTCACGATCAACATCCAAATTGTGACCATCAACATGACTCTCGGAATTCACAACCTGCTTTATGTGGTCATGGTAGACCTCTCAGCCATGATTGTGATCGTGATCTCACACTCTGAATTTGCTGAGTTGGTTACTTTATCTTGAATTTGGAGTATAAATTAAATAAGTTTAGACGGTTATTTTTATATAACTTTTCATTTTAGCTTCTCTCTATGTTTTTCTAAAGATAAAACTTCTCCATTTGTAATCAATCGAACTTTGATGATTGGAGATCGTTTCAGTTTGTAATTCATTTTAGTTTCAAATTTCATATTGCACTTTCCATTGTTCTTGATTAAGGTTAAGTCGTTATTCATTTTTCTACATTTTATTTAATTGAATTGTTATTGCAATGTCTTATATTTCAACGCATTTCAATCTCAACTTCTCAAATACGAGTAGCTATATTCCTTAAGGTTTTTTGATTCGAGGTTTTTTTTTTTTTTTTTTTTTTTTTTTTTTTTTTGGTTATGTATGCTATGTGGTTTGAATTGCAATGTAGGATAGTGTAATGACTCAATAATGATGGTCATAGTTGTGAGCTTGGTGGTCTATATGAACTCTTGCATAATTTGGGCTCAATTATGCAAAGATGTACATGGATAAGGTGTTGAGACTGAGAATAGAGCAACACCATATATAGTCGCATCTCTCATTAGTCTAACTTTGCTATGAGAAAAGCGAGTTGAAAGGGGACATGAACGCCACATGTTTGATGAATTGCATCAACTGGTTTGAGTCATCATGAGAATGAGGCATAAACCTAATTGAAAGTAGTCCAATGTCCACAAAGTGACATTGACAATTAGTAGCATTTCTCTACTCACCTTGTTGATGCACTATATGGTATTTATCCTATGAAAAACTATGGTATCAATACAAAAGTGACTAAACCACTTACTATTCAACTTCTTTTTAGTCCGCTCTTTGAGACAATATCCTCATAGTTCACTCCATCAACACTAAAATCAACTTTGAAATGAGAAGAGAAAAAGCAAAATAAAGATGAAAGTTTGATGGACCAACACTATAAAAATGGGTCGGGTTAGTTGAGGCTTAATTTTGATATATACACACTAGATGAGAGTGAAACTAAAGATGCATGGACATATCACATATTCACATATGTATGTATATACAGACTACATCAGAAGTTTGCCTATCTACCCTGTGGATTTACAATCTGTGAGAATATTGCATCGTCTGACTGATTCTTGTCCTCTTCCTCATCCCCCTCATCAATGCTTAACAACTGTGCATGCATGGCGTAAGCATCGTTGGCCCTCTGTTCCGCCACCATTTTGGGCCCGTCTGGATTGCTCTGCAACTGCATCGACAGTTCAAGGTTCCAAAGAACCGATCCCATGGAGGGGCGGTTGATTCCATGATCAGACAGACAACTGATGGCTGTTTCCACGTAGGTTTTGAGACATTGTGGGGTTATATCTACTCTTATGAACGGATCAACAAAGCTATCTACCATTCCCTTTCTATGGCACTGTAACGCCCAATCTGCTAAACTGACTTGATCTCTTGGAAGGCTAGTATCCAGCGCTCCTCTCGCGAACAGCACTTCAAACAAAACCACCCCAAATGAATAAACATCGGACTTGTCTGTCAACTGCTGTCTTCTGAAGTATTCTGGATCCAAGTATCCAAAGCTCCCTTTCACCACTGTGCTCACATGCGTTTGGTTGAGAGTTGGACCGGTTTTCGACAGCCCGAAATCGGAAACCTTTGCCACCCATTTGTCGTCTAATAGGATGTTTGTGGTTTTAACATCCCTGTGGATGATGGGGTATCTGGCGCCGGTGTGAAGATAGTGAAGTCCTCTGGCGGCACCAATGCATATTTCCAGTCTTTGCTTCCAGGACAATGGAGGTTTGTTGTGCTTGTACAAGTGTTCTCTTAAGGTTCCATTGGCCATATAATCGTACACTAATATCATTTCATCGTATTCCTCGCAAGCACCAATTAGAGAGACCAAATGCCGGTGTCTAAGCTTTGAAAGCAGTTCGATTTCGTTTTGGAATTCATGGGCTCCTTGTTCTGACGATGGGTTTGATCTCTTTATGGCTACCTTGGTGGATCCTCCGTCAATCTCGCCTTTGTAGACCTTGCCGAATCCTCCCACGCCGATTACTAAAGACTCGCTGAAGTTCTTGGTGGCCAGTTTGATCTCCGGGAGGGTGAAGTGCCTGCACAGGCCTCCCCCGAGATTTGAAATACGGCTACTGCCACTGCTTTTGCCGGAATATGAGGTGGAGCCCGAAGAACGCGAGCTTCCATAAACCGGCAGCCAGCCTTTGACGCTAGATTTTCCGCCGTTTCTATCCGCCATTTTCCGCCGGTGGAAAGCCACCAAACAAAGCACTGCGCCGAAACCCGTGAACACGCCCAGGACCGAGCCAACTATTATGCCCCCCCGGTGAGCGGATCCTGGATTTGAAAATGAGGTATTGCTGGCAGAATTCTGGTCGGGAACCGCGGGCGGGGGAACAGGATTGGGACCTGCCAAGGTTTCCATGGAATTATTCATCTTGAAAATCTCTAATCCATTTAGGATTGCATCGTAGGTTTCGGGTTCGGATTCTGGATTAGGATGCAACGCCACCCACAATTCATTATCGCCTCCTTTATCTCTTTCATATACCACAAAATCCCTGTAGGTTGCAACTCCTTGGAACCCACTCCATGCAATCACATCAGCCGCGGGAAATGCAGTCTGGTTGTTAATGTAAATATAGAACACCCTCTGATTAACTTTGGTTAGCTGATAGTCGCAGAAATGCATCCTCACAAGATAACTAAAATTCGCATCCACCCGGAAAACCCACGTGAGATTATAACGTATGTTAATGTCTCCGGTGGAACCCATACTTCTTGAAGAACGATAAACATCCAGGGGAGCTATGTAAGTTGGAGCCCCAGGGGGATATCCAATTCTCTGAGTCTTGTTTGCCGTACTGGTGGTCCCGAATGCCGCGCCGTACAAATAGGCCCAATCATTGTACCATGTTCTGGTGAGACTAGAATCGTTGCTGGCCGAAATGTACTGTCCCCCGACATTCAGCCTATACATGGACTGCATATGAAACGATGATGTGTTAATATAACCC